TATATATATATATATATATATATATATATATATATATATATATATATATATATATATATATATATATATATATGTATATATATATATGATATACGTGTATATGTACATATATATGTATATCAAAAGATGTATTTGGAAGAGAAATAACTCACTCCTCTTAATTAAGAAAAAAATTTAGTGGGAAATAAGATGTAGAAAGCGCATCTGTATAGCGAGTAGAACCAGTTCTTGAGTCCTCATCAAACGTTCATTCAACAGAGACACAGACTGACTCCTATTAGACCGCCCGCACAATACCACAAGATGGGAGTGCTTAGAATGCATAACATGAAGAATGACCGAGAACTGGCATGGAAGTAGTGAGTAAATGATTATTGACGGGTGATTCAGCCAACAGGTGAAATAAAGGGTTACTTGGTTGTACTTTCTTAAGCTAAATTGTTTACGTATATATACATAACCTGACTGTTCTGGTCTTTGCCGTTCGGACGTGTTGTTTAAAAGGGATTACAGACAGGAAAGTACTGATTCGTAGAGAGGTTAATTAAAGACCGTGGCAACGAGGAGAATTAAGAAATAGTGGGGATCAAATAGGAAAGGGTAACAGAGACATGCTATTAACATTTTGTAGTTATTTGGAGGACCTCTGAAGGCTGTACCATTTGTCATTCCAGCTAGTCCTTACGGAACATAAAAACAGGAGGTCAAGATAGAGTTTTTCTGCTGGGAAATCTTTCTGATATCTGCATCCCGAACCATTGCGGTCGGTTTATACGAATCATGAAGAAAAGGAAAACCCCTAACAGATCAGTGAACAATTGCAGCAGTGTTAAAAAGTTTAATCGGTCTATTTAATACTTGAATTCATTTTTCTGCCATCAGATTTGAAGTGTGGAACGGCGATGCAACACGAAAGGCTCATTCCCTATTTGCCATTCGTACTTCTCAAAAAAGGCTCTGGTGACTAATGTCAATAGTTTTCAAAACGGTGTACACGACGGTAGGATACTGCTGATACATATCTGTGTGTGTGGGTGTATAATGTGGTATGGGAGGAGAAGTATTTCGGGGAAGGAAAGAAATTGTGGTGCTGCAGGAGGAATACATCATGATTTGACAGAAGTAGTAGGGAAAGGAAAGTACGCAGAAGGAAGATCTGTTACATTCAGGGCACGATAGTGATAAAACCTGAATAGGGGCGGACCCCAATTCAAGAGAGCAGTGATAGGGACGGTATTGAAATGCATGTATTTGTCGGCACTGCAACAGGAGCTGCTTGCAGTAAGCACAGGCATCGTCCATAACTTTTTCTCCCCGGTGCAGAGGAAAGCCTTCCTTTCTGTAGTAGTAGTAGGAGTAGCATTAGTATTAATAGCATCTGACTGCATCAGAGTTACAGGTGAGTTGAAGCAGCATTTTATCGAAATAAAATTGAAATCATATTTGGGCACAAACTATTAACGGCACCAACCATCTTTCCTCATTTTTAGTTTTCGAGTCGCCATCGTTGTGTGCTGCTGGAATAGCTTTGCTGCGTAATTATTGTGCGCAAGAGAGTGGTGTGTGTCTGTGATTGCACATTCCTGTTTGTACATAACCTACTGTTCTTGTATCATTCCTCCGATATCCATTCCTCTTCAGCTTATTCTATTTCTACGTAACATCACATCATCTGGATAATGTATAAAGTGTTACGTTCCTACTCCAAGAAGGCGGAACGTAAACATGAATTGACTCGATCAACTGGTAATACCGCTGAAAAAATTAACGGTTATTCGGCAGCTGATGGTACTGCTTCATCTACTATCCACAGTTTATCACCATCTTATGGAGGAGGTGGTGGCACGATCATGGAAGATGTTCGTAACGGCCAAGTTGTTCCCATAGATAGAAATGGACGCATTGAACCTGCATGGCCTAGTGGACAAGCATTCTCGGAGAGTTCTTCTTATGAAGCACGAGAACATTTCGAGCGTAAAGTTCAGCGTGTCAAGAAAACACGCGGTGAACGAGACAGTAATCGAAAATCGAAAAAGAGCAAAGTTGGTTCTTCCATTTCAGCACTGTTACGTTTCATTCAGCACTTTGTATTATGTTAAATTGATAGAAACTATGCGTACGCTCTGCTACATTCCTTATGCAGTTAATTTTATTTATTCTACCTAATTTAGTATTTGTTCGGTATGAAGGACGAATGTCAGACTTTTAAAAATCTATAAAACTTCCATTTCTTTCCTTCAAATTTCTACTGGTTCATTATTAATGCTGTTTGGATGCATGTGGTTGTAACCTGGTTCATTATTAGTGCTATTGTGGATGCATGTGGTTGTAACCTTGAAATTGAGAAAGAATAGGTCAAGTGGGTTTGGAAGTGAGGCAATAAATCTACAGTTCATTTCTTTGCTGTAATTTAGTGATTCCCAACCCTTTCTTGATATGACATCATTTGGTCTTTTTATTTATAACAGATTCAGAAATCCAAAAATAAATTCTCATAACGTGATACTAAGCTTTGGTCAAAACTTTCAACGTATTAGTTAAACTTAGAGTAACACTGTAATATAAAAAAAAAGGAATGCAATCTTTAATAGCCCTCGCAGACCACATTTTAGTTCTTGCGGACCACCTGTTGAGAACCATTACTGTAATTAGATAAGTGAAAGGTTCTGTAATATTTTCCGTGCACGAATAACTCTTCATACTGTACAATTAATCAGTTGTAAATACTGATGCACATTTGTTTTAACTATCGCCAAATTTTTTGAAACCCCTCATCTTTACCTGAAAATATAACCTTTTTTTCATTTTCTTTGAGATTCAGATTCGAGAAATATCTGTTCTAAAGTTAATTTGGATAGTCTTTTTTTTGAATTTCTTTTTCTTGAATTTTGGAGGCAGTATTCGAACATATTTATTTTACATCTTTTTGTAATTACTCTCGATGAGTGCTGAACAAACCGTGTGAAAAATCAGTGAATTGAATTTGCAAGGTAAGCGACCTTGTTTGCAGCGAAATAGAAAAGCTATATGTTGTTGGGAGTTTTGAGAAGCAAATCGTGTATGAGAATAAATGCAAACATTACGAAAATGACAAGTTGAAAGGAAAGACGAAGGAGAAAAGAGGGTAGGAGGATGAGGCCTTAGTACCAGATGAATTAATAGGTAAAGGTTTTATTTTTTCTGATTCATTTTGCACTGTTTGGCAGAGTATGAAAGTAGCAGAACGGAAATTTCTAATATTTTGATTTCTACTCAAATATTTAAAATAATTTGCCTGTTTGCTTTCCATTAAAAAATATACTTATTTTTCAGGTGTCAGAAGTACTGTCAAGCATAGACGGTGTTTCAGCACGAGATGCCCTACTGCAGTGGGCACAAGATGTTACACGCGGATATCCGGGTGTTAATGTTCGCAACTTTACCAGTAGTTGGAGAGATGGTTTAGCCTTCAATGCTATCCTTCATCGTTATCGACCAAATATTATACAGTGGAATAAAGTATGTTAGTTATTCTTTTCATAATTGGGTAAAAACCGCTTTCCACTATCCAATTCGATACTAACGTTGAGAAGGACTGTGTTGATACAATGGGCATATTTCAGAAACTAGGAGAAATCAGAAAAACTTAGTAGCATTTGGCTGATAAGGATCAATCTCGATTGTAACAGCGATGATTTTATTACGTCTCTATAAAGTTGGAAAACATCACTTTTACTTCGTTACTTGTAAGGCTTGAGTTCAAAAGTGAGTCAAACAACTAATAACTTCAGATAATTGGCGAAAGTGTATCAGCTCGCGATCGTCTGAACAATGCATTTGCAGCAGCTGAAAGTGAATTCGGTGTTTCCAGACTGCTGGATGCAGAAGATGTTGATGTTGATGTACCAGATGAGAAGAGTATCATCACCTATGTTTCTTCGCTTTACAACGCTTTACCGCATACTAGTGAATTGAGTAAAGTCAGTTTTACTCCTCTTTATCTACAAGATTATGAATCATTTGAATGCCATTCTCCACAGAATGGTACAATTTCTTTGAAAATGTCGGGAGTAGAAGGGATACATCTTGAACTTTGCTTTCACAAGTTGAAATTTAAAAATTTGATTGGCAAAGAGTAATGCGAATTTTTCTTCATTTTTAATAACACTGATAGAAAGCATAGAACTGTCAATGGTATGGTTGTTTCGGGTATCTTTTTCTCTGGTAAATTTTTGTTTAATAAGCTACACGTAATGTGTCTCTTCAAGAAAACATGTTGCGGGACTTCTGAATTATTTCAAAAGATTTGGCAACATCTGGTAACAAGGTACCATTAAGAGTTTTAACTTCTTTTGAAATTGATATAGCTTTAGGCTTACCATCATTCTATGCACTAATAAAGGATTTTTTATCGTCGGGAAAATGGAATTTAAATTAGTTCGGTCACCAAGTTTAGTAGCTGTTAAGTTTCTTTTTTTTAAATTGTATTTTCTGAAGAAGGGACCCCAATTTTAATATTTTACCATGGAAAAACGATATTTTTAGAATTCGTTCAGATTTTGGTTTGTTATTAGGTTGAAGTACTTACATTTCCAATACTAGACTATTCTACTTATGTAGCGATCGGTATGAATAAAAAAGTGGAAAACTAATAGCTGCATATAAATAATACTCAGTGGGGAGCATCTTGAATGCAATTTAAATTTTAATGATCGTTGATTAATTGAAGCTTGAAAACTTTTGTTTTTCATAGGCAGATGCTTTAGAATCCATGTTTTAAAGGATGGAAGCTTTTTCAACACTCGAAAATTATCGCTGATGAATCATTTTTAGTAGTTTAATCAACCGTTATCATTTATTCGAAAGTTATTTTGGATTAAAGTATGTGGTAAGAAGTCAGTTTTCTGAGCAAATTTTTTTGTATACACTTTATATACCTACAAATAACTAGCCTATAAAACCCAAATTAATTATTAGCTGCTAGTATTTTAGTACTAGATTTCCAAAAATGTTTCCCAAAAGAGTTCTAACAGAAAACAGCCGTGGATGGATAGCTTTGGATAGTTTTTTCGTTTGTTTTCCTCACAAATTGCAAGCAACGGTTATAAAAACTGTCAAATAGTTTTTAATTTATGGGTGATGTATAGGATGGATGGTTTTCATGGGATACTTTTCTACCATAATTCTATTTCTTGGGAGCTCCAGTTCTGCACTCATGATGTTTCACATCATTATTCCTGCAAATTTTTTTTTTCAGAATAAACACAAATTTTATATGACTGTCTTCTTGGGTTTTTTATAAAAATATATTTAGATCCTACAAATTAAATCATATATATTAAAATGCCAATTCAGTTTACTATGAATCCTGATGACTTTAAGTTAATTTCATCTACTGACACTAAAATTGAATGATCGTGTCAGTCTTCGTGATAGAGAATTTCAAGGAAGGATTTTTATTCTAACTTGTTATTGAAATAAAAATCCTAAGAAAGAGAGGAAGTAATTATTTGTTCTTGGACAAGTAGTTAACTTTCTTTTTCGGTTCTTTAACTACAAATAAGTGAATTGGATTTGCCGACATTCCGAAATAAGACCACTTCAAGCTCTAAATTACGTGGTTCTTGCATGAAATGTATCTGGATTACAATATTTATTCCTTAATTTCTAAAACTGCACAACACAATGAACGTTTTTCGCACATAATTTGATGTGTTGCTGACAGTTTGATGTCGCCGATCAGCTAATGATAATTGTTGCCATATTCAGTATGAGGATGTCATGTATGAATACGAACGTGAAGCGGCGGAATGGTTACATTGGATAGAGCGGGCTACCCGTCTAATGGACGATCGTCAATTGCCAACAAATCTGGGAGAGTTACGCCGATTAGAACATGACTTGGAACGATTCAAATCAGAAGATTTACCACCGAAAGCACGCGAAAAACAGCGTTTAGCGGATCATTATGCCGAACTTCATCAGCTTTTCGAGCGTACCGAACATTTGCATATTCCTACAGAGCTAAGCACTCAGAGTCTGGATCGATCTTGGCAACGATTACTTCGTTCACTCAACGAACGATTCAGCTTAATTGAAGAACAAGCCGGAGTTCAGGTATTTGAAAATGCTCATATGTGGATCTTTACTACTTATTTTCATTTTTATTGTTATTCTGTCCATACTTCGCTATTCGCTTTTTAACTAGTTTATGTTGCTTTAGCGTTTAGTTTCATCTGTTCACTTTATGTACTGTTTTTCCTTAACAAAAGCAAGTTCGAACAAGTTTATGCTTTTGTCTAACTTTCTGCTCAGCTCATAGATTGGGTGACACCAGTTTTTCAAAGTGGAATTGTACACATTCTAGAACAGAGTGAAAACAAGGGAAGAACTTTTAATGAAGAGAATGTCAAATCGAAACACTGATAGTAATGAATAGAATACTTTTTAGCAATATGCTGACTTAATAAAAAGGCATTGTTATCAGCTGTTATTCGCAGAAGGAAGTAAATGAAATACTTTGAGTGGTAATATTTTTTCCTAATTGTCATTTTTATGATAGGGTTTCAAGTCATCATAGAGGTATTTTATAGCGGTGGATCGTATAATCTTTGTTAAAAACGAAAAAGAGCGGGAACAATAAAGAAAGGAAAACTGTTGGATATCTTCTTTAATGAAAGTAAAATTTTTACGTGAAAAATAGGAAAGTGCTTCTCGTAAAAATATTTCTTCGATACCAAAATTTCTTTTCTGGATTTCGATGTTCGTTTTTTTCCCTTTTAATGTTTCGTGAATTCGACAAATCTCTGTAAGAAAGGGATTACCACCTTTTAACACTCCTTTTCCATTATATCCGCGTTAGCACTGTTTTTTCGGAAAAATACGTTTCTTTTAGCAATTCCATCTTCCATTTACACTTTACCTTTCTACGCCTTATCGCACTTTTTCCCTTTGAAGAGAAAAATTCCCGGATTAATTTTCCTTGGCTTTTCTGTACAGAATGAAATAATTTATTGGCGTTACACTCATACGCCAAAGCTAGGAACAGTACTGTTGTGCGTTAAAGGGTTTATTTTTGTACTGTCCATTCGTTAGACGTTCAGTTTTGAGAATATCAGTTACCTTGATGTGAGTTGATAAACAGTTTACGTAAATTTTATGGTGCAGTTGCGACTGTTTTTAAATTTTTTTAACAGAAGCACATATGTGTTTTACGTGTTTAGCAGAATTCTCTACAGCCAGTCAGCAGTCCATCTAATTGCTTTTTTTGCTGATATTCCTCCGGACAGACTATGAAGTTGGCTATTGTTGAAAATTTTCCATTCTTGAAATTTTCAGGGTTCGACAACCGATATTATTAGTCGCTTGGCGCGTGGAATTGGAATAACGAATGAAAAATTGGATTATATTTTGAACAGAATTGAAGATGCTGAATCACGAAGTTGCTTTTCAGACAGACTTTTTTTTTGAATTGAAAAGAAATGTTCACTTTGTAAACCTTAAAAATCAAGTTTTTCTTTCCATTTCTATATCAAACAAAATAGGTCTTTAATCAATTGGTCAACGAATGGGATATTTGCGGATTCGGCTTATCAACTCATTATTTAAATTCGCACTTTCTATAATTACTATTTGAAACTGTTTAACGTCGTAATATTGCAGTTGATACGTCACGACCAGTAGATTTGCAGCGCCTTATTGATGGAATTATTGATGATCTTGTAGCACTGGAAGCATCAATTAGTTCATTTTTTGAGGATGTAGACCAACTTAAACGTTTGCGTCATCCCGAAGCAAATGATTATTATCAACAGTATGTCTCTCACTTTTAAAAGTAACTCAGTCATTAGATGAGCAAATTGGATTAAAGGAAGTGCATCCTAAACTTTTCTCGGAAAAACGTCATTGCGTGATCAAGTTCAACATACAGTCACAAATTGCATAGAGCATGATGATTTTTCATCGGTATCATCTGAAGATATTGATAGAAGAAGTCGGCATCCCCCTAATCTTTTAAGTATAATTAAAAGTCGAGAAGTACAACTGGATAATTAAAAGTCGAGAAGTACAACTAGTGCCCTTAATCTTTTAAGTATAATTAAAAGTCGAGAAGTACAACTGGAAATTGTTGGAAGTATTTTTATCACTATCAAAAGTAATTTCCACTTCTATCCTCCAAAATTTGGTGTATTATTATTATTTTGATTAATAATAATGATTATTATTGTCCGAATGCAGTTGTTCTTGTAGGGTATATGGATTAGAACAGCGTCGTCAGGCTTACCTTTCGAGATTACGTACACAATTTGTGACACGTCTTGGCATTCGAACGGAACAACTGATGCGAGAGAATGAGCAACGGCGTGAATCGATACGTCGTACGACGTATGGACGCGTAGAAGATTGCATACAGTGGGTTCGTTCACGGCTGGTAAGCTATTTTATAATCAGCGCAAAATTGCATTCTCGATAATGAGAAGAGGGAGGAAATGCTGAAAAGAAAGCAGAGTATCTGGATCAGAAATCTTTGAAGTTCTGCCAAGTTTGGAAATTTAATATTCTGGATGAGAATTTCTCTTCTCACTAGAAAGATTTCAAGGCAATAATTTTAGGAGAAGTTATCGGAGATGGAATTTGTCGAAGATTTGGAGCAGCTGGAGAGCATGTTTGAAGAACATAAAGTTGACAACCACGAAATACAGGACTTTCGACAGAATGTTGATGAATGTATCGCTAGACAGGTTATTTGGTTTCTTTTTTCAGAATATATGAAAAATCATCTATGGAAGGGGGGGGGGTCGGAAATCAGAAAATTGTGAAACGATCATGATAAAAATTGTAGAAAGTTGCATGGAGGATTACTGGCTTTTATCCTAGAAATAGAGTAACTTTCCACTCATCACAGCAAATAGAAAGGTTTTAGAAGCATAATTTCTAAAGGTAACACGGTTGTTTGCTGTGTGAATGGAAAAAATTAAAGGTTCGGTGAAACGTCCTAAATCTCCTGTAAATTCTTGCTTTATCTGCGTCCTAACAGCATATTCTACGTGGACCTTTAACATATGTCTAATCCAAGCTAACAACGGTTATCTTAAATAGCTGCTAGATCATGATCTGCATAGGACAGTAAATAATACAACTGGTAGTGCACCATCCGTGTAGACATCATCGGTAGATAGTTCAACTGAAAGAATTGATAGTCTTTTGATTTTAGTTGGGTATGAGTACATGTGGATTGGAATGACCTTGGCATCGAGCAGAAGTTGTTGAAAAACTTTATCGTTTTACACACTGTCCGAAAAGGAATCATTAATTGACCTTCTACAATTTCTTCCTTCTCTCTTTCATGCCCCGCATCCACTCCTCCACTCCTATCTTCTTTTCTCTAAGAGAAGGTCATCGGTGTTTATTTCATCCCACCAACTCACCTTCAAGGGGTTTTTCTATGGATCAAATTCTACTGCGATAAGCAAAGCATATCATGTATTTGCATATGTCAACTTCCTAGAAATTTGATTGCTTTTCAAAAAAGAAAAAAAAATCTAAAGAATTTAATAAGTTCAGTCCAAGATTATTTAACGCCATCAGCTTCTGGATCAGTAAAAGTTATCGGGTAATTTGGAATCATAATTGGTTCTCTCATAAAGGCTGGGGACTTTCATCCAAAAATTATCGAGACTAGGCGGCGCATTTTCAAGACATTGTTAGGAACGAAAGTAAAGTACAGTATGTATAACGAATTGCGAAAGGACAGTGGGCAGTAAACGTGAGATTATGGGAGAAAATATATAAAATTCGACGATAAATTTGCTTATGCCATTCGAATGAGAATTTGAAAAATAAGAAAGAAATAAGCGACAGTTTTTCTAGAAAGTTGGAAGCTAAAAGTTAATGTTCAGTTTGGCCAGAAAGGAAGTTAATGTTCAGTTTTGCAGAATTCTATTTCCAGGCAGAGATATCTGCGGAAGATACCCATGAGTACTGCGAATTACTTAGTATATTGGAAAGCGAATATCAGCAGTTGCGGGATTTGTCAGCTGGACGTATGCTTGATTTGGATACTTTAATCGCTTTTATCCGTGGAGCACAGCACGAAATTGTATGGATCAGCGAAAGGGAAGATATTGAAATTTCTAGAAATTGGTCCGATATCAAACAGCTTGATTTACCGATGCTGCAGAATTATTACAAACAAGTATTTTGACTTTTATACTTCTAGAAAATTAGGTTTCCCATACAAATCGTTCTATTCAATAATTCTTTCCATTTCAAGATACTCGAGAAATCCTTTTCATTCTTTTTCTAGCTTCTTCATGAAATCGAACTTCGAGAGACACGTTTCAACGACGTACACAACAAAGGCGCAGCCCTTCTAAATCAAGGTCATCCAGCTATCCATGTAATTGAATTTTATCTGAATGCAATGCAACGAAAGTGGGATTGGTTGCTAGCACTATCGAAATGTCTTGAACAACATTTGCGCGATGCACTCAACCTTAATTCGGTATGATTCCACATACTTTTAAAGATATATATATAAGAGTACGTATACACAAATGCAGTAAAACATTTTGGAAGTTCTTTTCTATCGCTAATGGCATTGTTTGACCCAGAAACAAAGTCAGGAAAAAATATGCTTATAAAATTGGAAGTGCCATTGTAGATTTTAAACTCATACTCCTTTCTGTTCCTATTACCTTTTTCGATCTTTCATAGCAAAATTTAACTTCAAATTTAATTACCATACTTAGAAATAAAATCATTTAATTTTTAACTGTTTTCTTTATATTAATTAATTTCTTCCGAACTTTTGTAAACTCATACTTGTTGCAAAAATATTTCATTCATTTCTTATTGGTAAGTAAATGGATAAATGCGGCTATGGTTACTAACATAAACTCTCCTCGTAAAGGTGTTGTGCATATCAGACGTACAAATTTGTAGCATCAGAGCATTTGTATTGAATTTCCGACAGTTCAAGTGACCCTATTAATGATCATTAGTTTAATAGACATTTAATGACTGAGGTAAAAGAGCAGTGATGAGTTTAGCAGTTCTTTTTTTGCAAACATTCCATGAATTGTTTCAAAGTCTTAAAAAACTGTTGAATTTTGATGAGATGTCAGCAATCTCGAAATGAATATAATATTTAATAAAAACGAAATAAATTTCAATTTCTTTGCTTCAAGCACGGAAGCGACTGTCAGTCTTATTGTTTGCTGTTTTTTAAAGTGATTTTAATACTGAATCTCATTTACATCTTCACGCATTTATGGTATGCATTCCAGAGCACTAAAAAAGACGTTCAACGGAAGACCGGTTCCTGAAAGTTAAGAACTCAGAATCTTAAATACTGTTTTGCAGTTCATGGAAGATGCGAATGCTGCGGAAGAATGGATGATTAAGCACTCTGAAATGCTGAGGAGGAAATACAATAAAAGCGAATTTTCACTGGAAGAAGGTGAACAAATGTTGCGCGAATTGGATGAAATCAGTGAATTAATCAAAAAATATCATAGTATTTTGATGACACTTACCGAACGAAGTTCCCAGATTTCACCCCTATGGCAAAGAGGTGAACGAATTCAAAGACCGATCTCGGTTGTTGCTTTAGCCGATTACACCAATAAAGATATTACAATTAGAGAAGGTGAGGAATTTCGCTTTTATTCAAACGTCTTTCCTAATGAAATATTTCATTTCCGTGAATTCCTCCTAGCTTCTGTGATGCCCATGATGTTGCGCGTCTCATCGTGTTTTGCCTTATATGCTCTTTGATTATCGATTATGTCGATTTCGAATACCTTAGTTAAGTATTCACTTCCATAATGATTATATCAGTGCTTTTGTAGAGCTTTCCTTTCTAATCAAGTGATAGTATGTTCTTGTTTGGCGACAACATTTTGTTATTTAGGCGATGAATGTATGTTGACCGATAATTCGGATTTGATACATTGGAATGTTAATGGCCCAGGTGGTACAGAAGTTTTGGTACCATCTGTGGTGTTCCGTATTTTACCGCCAGATGCTCGCATTACCACATATCTTAATCGATTACATGGAAGTTTGGAGAAGTTACGCCGACTTTGGGGTCAAAAACATCGAATGGTACGATACAACATGGTGCTAAATACAATGGCTCAGATACGGTAATATATACTTCGTACAATTCATAGTTATACAAAAAATTGCGGTAAATATATACTTCGCATAATTCATAAATATATAAAAAATGAAATTATGGAAAATCTTGTTTTAAATAGTAAAAATGCTTGGCATACAATATTTCCCGTTGCTAAAATACTTTTGAAGAAAGATCTTTGTTTTATGAGGACTGACCGAAATTTTATAAGGATGAGGGTAGTCACTGCATCATGTACCTGTTTGTGATCTGAAATCTCTGATTTTTAGTAACTGGAATCTGAGTACTTTTGTTTCAATGACTCCAGAGGAGAGAGATGCGATCATCAAAGCTTTGAATGATGATGCGCACAAACTATTCTCCGAGTTGGAACAGAACGATCCGTTGGCGATGCGACTTAAGGAAGAACTGAAACTAACTAATGAACATTTCTACGATCTCCTAAATCAGATGAATCGTCCCAAGGGTACTATTGATTTTACAAATTCAGAACTGTTTGGACCTGTTATGCCCTTAATAAACTAAATAGCATGTCGCTCTGCCATTCTGTAATTAGCATATTACAGAGCCCGAAGTTGGAGCTCAGTTTGATGCGAAAATTGCGGAGTTGCTTGGTAAACTGGATAAAGCATATCGGAATCTGAACGATCGAGTTATGCAGGTACCAATTTGAGTCGTCGTGAAAAATGTTCAATAATGACATCAACTCAAAGGGATTGAAATTTACTATATTTATGGCACTTCACTTTTATTTAAAAAATTCATTACAGAACATTCCAAGATCACGAGAGGAGCTTGAAAAGCTGACCACTGGACATAAGGATTTCGAAGATGGATTGCAAGCACTAGATGTTGATGTATCAACTGTGAATGAGCTTTTTCGGCAAATTCCTGAACCAACACCATCACAACGAGCTAGTTTCGATCATCTGAGTGATCGTTGGGAGGATTTATGGGAACTGTCAAGGATGTATGTTGAACGATTAAAATCTTTGGAAGCTGCGCTAAATGGACTCGTTGAGGTAATTGTTGGATAATTCTTGTTCTCATTCTTCATTATTGTGTTCACATTCCACTTAAAAATACAATACGAGAACTTGGGCAATCCAATGTTTTTTTAATGCTCATAGTTTAATTGGTTCTGTTGTTGATGTTCACCAATCCTGTTAGGTGATTCACTCTTACTTAGCTTCTAATCTTATTGTTGAGATGCTGATAACAATTTTAAATTTTCAGAAATTTCCCACCGAAAAAAAAGGATAGATCCTTAGTAATGAATAAGTATAATGGTATTGTTAAAATTACAAATTTGTCACTTTTTTTCAAGAAAATATTTGGAGTATATTTGACTATTTATGATAAATATTGTTAGCTAGGTACTGTACAACTAGTATTTTCGTATTTTTGAATACTTCGTCAATTTCTTTCCGTATAAGAGATCGTCGGTCGCTGCTCTCGGTCACTCACTTTGGTTGACCTAAATGAGTAAATGTTTGGAATCTGAACTGAACTAAGCCTGAGATTCGTATGGTTTTATACATTCTGTTTTTGTTCTAACCACCGTATGTCACTATTGTTACAGTTGACCTCCATTTTTCTTTAGCTAACACATATTACAGCTGATTATCTCGTTTCATAGATCAATAAAAATAAATAAATATCAGTAATATAAATATAAATATCAGTAATATACGTGATTTGAACTTAATTGAAGGGCATTTTACTACGTATTTATGTATATTATTTGGCTCTTCCGACGAAAGGTTATGGAAATAATCCAACATATGATCGCAATTTATTCTTGTAGTCGTAGATCGTTATATGTGACAGGGAAAGTTTTTCTAAAGTATAAGTCAAGACTTACTAAAGTTTACTGGTTTATGATGTGAACAGTTTTTGTAGGTGACTGATATTGTACGACAGCATGAAATCATGCTTAGTTCATTTGATGATATGCCAGCCTCTTTGGATAAACTGCGAGGCGTTCACTCGCAGTTGCTTGAGTTCAATATGGTGCTGCAACAACAACAGACAATCGTTGATGCTCTCAATCGTAATATTGCTCTTCTGCGTCAGCACATTTCACGAACTCGTCAATCGCCTAAGTAAATTTTAAGGGATTGTATATGAATTGGAAACGTAGTGGGAAAATGTTTGTGATGTCCAGTATGGCGTCAACCGATCGTTACGTTAAGAAGCAGAATTGTATTGTGGGCAGTGCTATTTCGTCATCATAATAAAAATTTGGTTTAGTCACTTTGTAATAACTGTTTTGTAACTCCAATGAGAAATTACAAATTTTGATACTGCGAAATAAAAAGGGTCAATTATTTGTAGTCATCCAGATGTTGATCGACTGGAAGACGAAGTGCAAACATCAACTGTTCGGTGGGAAAACGTTTGTTCGCAGGTGGTCGATCGTTTAAAAACTGCTGAACATGCTCTGCAAACTCAAATGATTTACCGTACCGAATATGAAAACGAAATCAGATGGCTTGATAATGTCGAAGCGACCATTAATAGGTCTACTCTGTTCTTGAAAACTTTTTGGAATATATTATTGTTGTTCTGATAGATTGCGGTCTTGTACTTTCAATACTTTCTGTTGTTGTAGCCTTATGATGGAAAAAAACTGATATTTAAAGATTGGAAAAATAATTAGTGTTCTCAATTTCTTCACCTTTTCTATTAGAGTTCTTCCTCATGATTTTACAAATTTCTCGACAAATCTATGAAATTTCGACAATAGGAGGAAGTCGTCGGATGGTTTCAGATTCTTTTCCATCACTTTCACATTTATCCAAAAATTTCTGTTTCAAACAATGGGATACGAAATAAAGTTTATAGTTTGCGCAAACCTGAAGAACTTCTTCCGGAGCAGTATCAACAACAATTGGATCTACTTATTGCCGAATATTCTCAGTTACAGGAACGTACTGAGGCAGTAGAAAATGTGAACCGTGAAGGTGGAAAATTCATTCGTGAAGCAAAGGTTTCTTTAATCGCAATTAGTTTTAACTGATTTTGAATTGTATCATTTCCACTGATGAACGATACTTGATTATTTTTACATCAATTTTTATTTTGATCATTCATTCAGATAATTAATTTCCATCCGAGATTGCCGAACCCAGTAGAGGTTTCTCACCTAAATTACGGGAGAAAATTCGGTAGGTCCTTTAGACGCAAGATTGTGTCACGTTTTTCAAGATGAAAGTCCTGTTAACTTATAGGGTTACGACAGTCGTATGGTGCAATATATGGAAAATGTTATCAACACTCACGGTCCGGACATCCGGAATAGCTTCCATCGTTCAAAACCACAGCCGAAGAATGGGGTCCAGCAAGTAACAGAAGAATTAGAACATCTAAATAGGCGATTTGCTCAGCTAAGCTCACTAATACTTGAACGTCGCAACATAATGCAAGTACTAATCCAGAATTGGAAACGAAAAAAACAGGTTAGTAATTTTTTAACGTTTTGGAGCTTATTCATCAAAAGAAGTTGACTTTTTTCAACAACAAAACATACATTAAACACAACGCCTTGATGGAGTATGAGCTTTTGGAAGGAACCTTCTTACCGGCAATACTTTTTTTTTTGAACCTTTTTATAATGAAATGGCAAAGCGCTAAGTTTTTTGTTGGGAAATAACTGCACAGGAAATTAAGATTTTTGAGAATCAAAAACAAAAGATTATTAAATGTTATTTTTATGAATCTCAGACTGCATAATCCCGGCGGGATGATTGCGCTTTCAGTCGATCGAATACTTATATGTTACTGCAGTGAAGTGAGTCATGGCATCACTTAATGATGCTACTGACACGAAATAATTCCAGAAATTAAATGGCATTCCAAAAATTTGAAATTTCGAAACCAACCGATTTCAACAAAGTTGTAACCAACTGCGCGCCGACACATGCTTACATGTTATAGCATTTATTTTCACTACTTTTTTTAACACTGTCATAGTTCCTAGCGGCTTCCAACATTCTTTCTTATTTCCATTTGTTCTACTTCTCTTGGCTTTGTTTGGCCATTCATTGACACTTTTTTAGCTAGCTTCCCTTGTTAACATCAGCAGCAGCAGAGTAGCAAGTGTTAAAAGCATTAATTGATCCGAAATTCCGCATCGGCACAATTTTTCCCGAATTTGCAGGGTATACGATTGATTTGTAGTTTAAGATCAAAGTATTGTTCTCGATGATCTGACATTCTGATGATCTGACTATTAAATTTGGTATTACGTAGATGTTAATGGCATAACAACAAATTCACTGTCTAAATTTCACTTTTCCCAAGAAGCCATTTCCAAGTTAGAAAAATGCAGACTTTATTTTTATTCAGAAATGCTTGTTACCTTCTCGTAATACGGTTTTCTGGTTAAATTCCTTCAGCTTGTTGTTACCACTTCTAGGCTGAAACCGAAAAAATTTGTCGTCAAAAGTTGTGGTTAAACAATTTGTGAGCTTTTCCAGAATGAGGAAAGTGCAATTTTGAATTCGTATACAACTTTATATACTAACACTAAATTGACTTTTCCAAATCGTATGCATGCTTTGAGCAACATTTTAGATACCCAACAATTACGCAGGTGGAAGACGTATCGAAGAACGAAACAACCTAGAATTTTGTGAATTTTAAAAGAAGAAATCAAGGGAATTTTTACGATTATTGTGCTACTGCACAATAAAATTACTATTTTATTGGGTATTTCAGACTGCACTTCACAAACCTTTCGTTTTTTATGCGCTGTTGCAGTTGTCACTGTTGCCTTTTAGTTGCGTGCATTTTTGCTCCTATTTCTTGCTTCTTTTGCTTACTTTTCTCACACTGAGGTACTATTTTTTAGATCGGTTGGTTTTGGCTTCCGACGTTCGTCATGTTGTTGTCCCATATCGCTCATTCACTTGCAGGCACGCACTAAAGTGTTGCAATTAAAAGATAGCATTACTTGACATATAACCTCTACTTTGCGCAACACATACATCCATCCGTCTTCCTGCTGCTACGCAGATGTCTTCCATTTGTTGTAGGAAGAGGACGAACGAAGACGAGCTGAAGAGGAAGAAAAACGTCGCCAGTTTGAGGCAGCTCGATTGAAAGCATTGGAGGATGCTGATCGCCTCCGGAAGCAACGTAAAGCTGCTGAGGACGCACGTCGAGCAGCAGAAGAAGCTGATCGTTTACGCCGTGAACGTGAAGCAGCAGAGGATGCACGTCGAAGAGCGGAAGAAGCTGATCGTTTACGCCGTGAACGCGAGGCGGCAGAGGATGCACGTCGAAGAGCGGAAGATGAAGCACGGCGAAGAATGGAGGAGGATGCTAAACGTAGAGCTGCGGAAGATGCAGCTAGACGAAAAGCAGAAGAGGATGCGAGGAGACGAGAAATGGAAGATGCGGAGCGGGAAAGGAAAAGAAAAGAAGACAGAGATCGAAGACGTCGTGAGAAAGAAGAGGAAGAGCGTCGTCGTCGAGACGATGAAGCAAAAAGAGAACGTGAAAGGAGGAGGTTGGATGATGAGCGCCGACGTGCAGAAGACCGTCGTCGGCAGGAGGAGGATGAGTGGCGTTTACGTGAGGAAGAGAAACGGCGATATCGTGAGAAAGAACAAAGACGACCAGAAGTAGGCTCTCATTTATTTGTATCCAAATCGTTAATCTCTGTTTCTGTATTTTGGGATTGTATGTAGCAAGTTGGAACACAACTTCGACTGTTTGTCAACGAAATGATTTTCAGTTGATTTTTACGAAGTGCTTCACTCAGTTACTTCCGAGCTGTCACACAACCCAGCACTCATTCTAAGAAACAACACTTAGTCGATTAACCGATAATTTGTTTCAGATGCCTAACCTGAGTCATGGCATGCAACAGGCAATTGTATCCGAGGGTGGTGAACTGGAAGAATTTGAAGAGAGTCGGGATGTTCCGGAGAGAGCAACAATAGCCGAGCATGAAGACGAAATGCAGATGTATCAAGAAGAAACAATTACCAAGACGCAATTTTACGAAATGGAAGGCATTTTGCACAAGCAAACTGGCGAAATTTTAACTTTTGTTGAGGCCATACGCCAAGGACTGCTAGATTTACATTCCGGTGGAGGGGAATTCTACGATATTGTTTCGGGTGCTAGAATTAGTCTGGAGAAAGCTGCGGAATTAGGATACATTGATGGTGGTTTCCATGAAGTCCTTAACACTCATTATGGTGTACGTCATCCAGAAACTGGTGAAAGTTTATCTCTGTTAGAGGCTATCCAGATCGGCTTGTATGATCCGGATATCCGTCAACTGCGAGATATTGAAACAGGTGATATTCTGCCAATGTACGATTGTATCTCACGAGGAATAATAACACTTGACACACAACATCGACTGGTTAAAATGGGCGTGTTGAAGCTGCCACCTTTGTCACTAGAAAGTGCTATTGAACAAGGGGTAGTAAATAAGGAGACGGGCCACTTTACCGGAAAGTATACGAGAGAGACAATGCCACTCAAAGATGCGCTATATAACGGATATATTCAGATTGGCGGATGCCATCCGCATACGATGATTGCTACCAGCCTCTCTGACTGTCTTGAAACGGGCCTAATTGATGGGTCCACCGGTGAATTTGTGGACAAACATAGTGGCGAAAAAATTACCTTACGCGAAGCTGTTTCGAAACAGTATGCACTCCTAAATTTGCATGTTCCAGAAATAGTGAAAACGGATGAAAATCGACGTATAACATTAGGCGAAGCAATTGTACGCAATGCAGTGAACACCCGTCAAGGTAATTTTAATGATTTACTGAAAAGTCAGACTCTTACGCTTCAAGAAGCTTTTTTAAGAGATCTCATACAGAAACCTCTGACGCTTACAGAAATCAGTCAAAAAGACTTGATCGATTCAACAAATAAATTCATAGATGGAGGCACTAAGAGTCGCTTCACATTGTTAGAAGCAATTGCTGTTGGTTTATTGGATCCGGATGTACGTCATATCGTAGATCCTGATGAAAAAGATGTGATTTCCATCGCAGAAGCTTTGGAACGAGGACTGTTGGAACCTGATGGCAGAATTATGCTTCAGAAGCAGCAAAAAGTTTTTTCTGTGAACGAGGCAGTCAGTGACGGGTTACTGATAAAACGTGTACGACATTCTATTTTTAATGTGAAGGGTATCAAGAATACGAAGACAGGAGAAAATCTAACTTTTAATGAAGCTGTAGATCGCGGTGTAATCATACTGCAAGCTGAAAGGGTTATAGACCTTGCTACAAATGAAAGTTTTCTTATAACCGATTGTATGGACAAAGATTTATTAGATCCTATGCTTTTTGAGCTCTTAACTACATTGCTGGGTATCAGAAATGGTCCGAAGCAGCAGGATATGACGGTGATTCATGCTGTAGCAAACGGATTCATTGATCCGCAAAAAGGTATTTATGTTGACAAACGGACGAATAGGGAGCTATCCCCGAAGCAAGCATATGATGATGGATTGTTAACACTTAAAGGAGCCTTGCAGTTGTCGGCGATGCTTGATATCCATCCTTCTTTGGTAACACCAATCAAAAAAATTGATCATAAGAGGCGAATTAGACGGCCGGGTCAAAGAGAAGACACCACTACCAACGAAGTGAAGGTAACACTGGCGGAAGCCATGAGGCAAGGTTTAGTCGATTCGCGCACTCATCGTTTCCGGCAAGGCGATACTGAGATGAGTTTCGAAGAAGCATTAAGTCAGGGGTTAATTCACCCGTCTGATGAATGGATAGTTCCGTCCAGAGCAGGTGCTGGTCCTACTGTGGAAGAGAAAATAACCGAATCTGTGGCTGAAACTGCACAGCAATTAGCGCCGAAGTTTTATCCAGATAAAAATGTTGAAGAAACTGTTACAACTGTTAGGAAAGTGAGAAAAACAGAAACAACAGCACTGGGAGGTCCAGGCGGTGTGTCTGTTTATCGTGCAGTAACGGGCAGTAAGGATTCGTTCGAGATACCCGCTGATGGTTATCATGTTTTGGAGGCTGAACGTAAAGATTATGTTAATCTTAGGACAGGAACTGTTTCCCTACCAAATTTGAGTCGTTCACTAACTCTGCAAGAGGCATTTCAATTAGGTGTCCTCGACAGTAAAAGCATTACTGTCGTAGATCCATCCAGTGGCAATCATATTCCTATTATCGAAGCAATGAATAAGAAAACAATCGATAAAAACGGTTGTATGGAACGCGATGGTCAAATGATCAATTTCGAAACGTTGATTAATAACAAGATAGTGCTGGTGGAGGCTGAGGCACCAGTTGGCTTAGGAAATTCTAAAAAGAAGGTGATACAGTTTTCACCAGGTTCTGAGGCAGTCATAAGTTTTCGTCCAATTGGGACTCCAACTGTGGAAGAAACAGAGCAGTCTTGGACATTTGATTCAGGTAGAGGAGAACTGGTTGATCATGTTACTGGAGAGCGGCTTACCCTTGATGCAGCTCTTGCTTTTGGTAAAATCAGCCGAGAGGATCTACGTGTCTTCGATACTTTGACTGCACGTGAAATGTCATTTGAGGAGGCTGAAAAATGGGGTGTTATCGATGAGAAAGATCATTATTATTTGGATAAACGGGAAAACAAACGATATTCTTTGGCTCAAGCGGCGTTACAGCACCGTGTTTTTCCAACCGGTGGTGTACCAGAAAATGCTTCTGATGCAATTCATACCACTTATAAAATACAAAAGCGAAGTGAATCATCGAAAAAGGAAGCATTATTTGGTGAGACCGCAGAATATGCGGAGCAAACGTTAGTGAATGCGCTGGATTCGGATTGGTACAGTGCGCAGAGCGGTATGTTTACAGATCCGCAGACGCAAAAGCAAATGTCTTTGAAAGAGTCAATAATCAAAGGATTATTCAATCCATATAGCACAACCGTACTTGATAAACGTAGAATGCGTGAACTTTCACTTTTAGAAGCTATAGATGAAAACATTATTAATGATACGGAGGGAACGTTGTTGGATACAGAAACAGGGAAATTTATTGACCTAAAAACAGCGCGTTCGCAGGGTTTTTTAAAAAGCAGAGGTTTGCCCGACAGTCTGGAAGGAGCTTTGGTATCTGGAAAGCTTGATTTGTCTACAGGTCGACTGACGACACCAGGTGGAGGTAGTGTTAAAGTTGAGGATGCGATTGCAGCTAAACTTATCGATAGCCAAAGTATCATTTTCCGTGATCCACTAACAGGTGAAGAATTGCCTTATAGCGTAGCGATTGAGAACAAAGTTATTGATCCTGTCAAAGGCATAGTTTACACGAAAAACATGACCGAAGTAATGACCTTTCCTCAGGCTCTTACTAGTGGTGTCTTAACTGGCTATGGTTCAAGAGCGTATACTCCACCGAAGCCTCAATCAGCACGCCTAGTAGAACGGAAACTTCAACTTACTCCTTATGCGCCAGAACCTGTTAAGAAGTCAGCAGTTGCTGTTATGGAGCAACGTGCTTTAGGTCCAGGACGTCAGGAGATAGTTGACTTGGGTGGTGGAAAACAGGTAGTGGTAAAGGTTGTGCGTGGAGAAGGTGGCGTAGAGAGAGGTGAGTACATTGATCCTTCATCTGGAATGAAATTTACAATCCAACTGCATGGTGATCCCTACATGACTGAGGCCAAGACTGTCGTAAAAAGTACCGCACAAGTGCAGTCTATTCAGTTGGAACCGCATGCTGAATTTGTTGGTATTGATAAGATAAGAGATAAAAGAAATGGTCGTGTCATGTCACTGCAAGATGCTCAGCGAATTGGTATTGCACGCATTGACAAAAAGGAAAGCAGATGACCAAGACATACTCGGTTTTCAGATCGAACATTCAAAATGCTGTCACGAGGGGGGTGGTCGATGCTCGCGGTGAAAAGTTAAGCTTGGAAGATGCGGTACGAGCCAAGTTAGTGGATTTAAAAAGTTTAACTTACCTTAATCCAAAGACAGGTGATGCTTTAACACTGGCACAAGCAGCAAATATGGGTCTTGTGGATGTCACCTTGTCGGAAACATTACCAAAGGGTGTATCTCATCCAGCAAATGGAGAAAGGATATCAGTACAAAGAGCCATAGAACTGGGTATCATAAATCCGAAAACCGGTGAAGTAAAGAATCCGTTCACGAATGAGAAATTAGCCTGGTTAGATATCATGAAACCGGTATATACAAGCCTTACAATGGAAGGAGTGTATGATCCAACAAAAGGATATGGAGTGCCAGTGTTAACAGCTCTGACCGAAGGTCTTATTGATGTGAGTACAGGCCAATATTCAAATATCATTACAGCAGAGACAATAACTCTGAAAGATGCTTCTAATAAAGGCTTGATTGATACTGAAACTTACAAAGCCATCACAGAACCTTTTCTGTTGGATTACCGTACAAAAAGAAAACTTAATCTGATTGAAGCCGTTCAGAACAAATTAGTGGATCCTCGAAACAAGACTATTCAATTTGATGAACAAATTATTATGCCTGTTTCCCGCGCAACCGCAGAAGGTAAAATACCACTATTCATTGGTGAGAAATTGAAACGTATTGATAAAATGACATTCGCGGAAGCGTTAAGCAAAGGTATGATTGATGTTGCGCAAAATCGATTTACTGATTCTGATTCGGGAAAACAGATGTCGATTAATCATGCAATTGAGGAAGGATACATTGATACCGGTAATGTTGAAGCTCAGGAAGGTTCAGATGATCGAAATCTGGCAAATATATTGTTCACGGAAGAATTCGACGAGATTTCCGGGCGAATAAGGGATAAAAAATCGGGTCTCTATTTGACTTTCAAATCTGCTGTTGATCGTGATGTTATTGACGGCGATTCGTTGTTGCACGATCTGGAATCCAGCCATACAATGACGATAAAAGAAGCACTGAATCAGGGACTTATCGATTCAGATGGCAGATATATCCATACACGTACGGGAGTCAAAATTACACTTAAGGATGCCGTAGCAAAAGGTCTGATCGCCTTGATTTCATCTCCTATGCAAGCTGCTCAAGCGGTCACAGAAGCTGTGAAACGTCGTGATGCTGAAGGTTATAGGTTTAAACTGGATTCAGTGGACGAACGGAAAATTGGAAGTGGCACACCACGCTATAGAGAGGAGATAATGATCGGAAAGCTTTCATCACCTCATCGTTCTGAACCTGGTCTCTCACGTCGAGTCAGATCCGTCTCAGAAGCATCACGAGGAAGTAGAGGAAAGAGCCTGATTGATGATCCTCAAGCTATGGCTGATTTACAGCACGAGTTTTTAGATAATCTCCGAGGACGTGGTTTTGATGTTGAAGAAAAAGTCATCGAACATCCAGAAGGTAGTTCACGAGTTTCGGTCCGTGAGGCGACGGAAAGTGGCCTGCTAGATGTTATCACTGGTGATATTGTTCATCCAGTTAGTGGCCGGCGGTACTCAATTCCGCGAGCAGTCCATATGAAAATGATGACTCCTGATGCAGCCAAACAAATGATGGAAACATTGAATATTTCTGTTGAGGAGCTGGGACAAACACCATTAATTGAATCTGTTAGTGTTAGCCCTTCAGAATCTGGAGTTAAAATTTACACGAAGACTGTCAGTTGGCGCGGCCAACCATCTGAATTACGGCAAACTACTGATCCACTTGCGCCATACACAACCTATACGTCATCGACATCATCCACAACAATGCGAACTTCCGATGTGTTCACTCAGTAATTAATTACCTAGTTTTATTGTTATTTTTGTGCGCTGTCTTTTGCTTTTTCAATACTTCTTGTTTAAATACATAATTTGTCTTCTTGCTTAAATACATAATTTTGCTTCCACTTTAACTTTTTTTTCAGAATTTAGTATGGGAAATAATGATCACATTTTTTAACTGAATCAAAACACTGCAAGACCTTTGCATAAATTTTTCGCTGATTCATTTTTGATAGATATCTTTCAACAGTTGGCTGTGTGAAACATCGTTCATGTCATGTACTCTAATTATCACATTTATACGTTTTCGGCATTCTGTAATGCTTTCTATTGAATTTATGTTTTTTTATGACGATGGAGCTGCTGTAGTTTGGATTTTCCTAATTTCGAATCGTTGTGCTTCCCATAGGTTTACCAGAGTAGAAAAATAGTTTGCACATAGATTAAAATTTTAACCTCGAAAAGCATATTACCATTTAATTTGGTTGATTTGAAATCACTGTTGTCTCATTAGCTAGGGAAATAGGTGGTGTTATATTTCAGTTCTTTTTCAGACGAACCAAGTTAAGGAATGCAGTTTAAATATGAAAGCATACTATCATTGAGAGTGTCGTTTCCATTAATCTGAAACATTCATCCAAATATTACGGTTCTTTTTCTTTATGAATTCAGTCATTTGCTACTCTTCAATTCATAACATTTTGTTATGTTTTTCCCACATGAAACAATGGGAACAAGAATTACTAACTGCCAACATTTTTGAACATTACCACTCTTTCATTGCTCCTTCATTTTTAATAAAAAAATATAATGGTCATTTATAAGTAACAAAATGAGTAACTACCGCAGTTACTGAACTTTGATCTGAATGATTGGATTGAGTGATGGGTAATCCATCTCATCTCCCTTTCTCGCATCAGTTAATTTCATACCATCAATTCATGCGCTTTCGAAATGAAATTCTGAGATTCTTCGCATTTAGAAACACTCACTTTTGCGTTCATCATTTATGTTGTCATTTTTCTTCTAACTAAAATCGATTTTGTAATATCTCTTTTTTTTCAAGATTTCTTATTGTATATAAATTTTTAGTGCAAAATATATCATCAATAGCATGTGAAGTGTGGTTTGAAACCCCAATGGGAAAATGATGACGACGACTGCACAATTTTGAGAATTTTAGCACAGAAATTTATTTTTACTCCTTTTTGTTGGAATAGTGCTACATCTAAGTCTACAAAAGTCAAAGTTTCATGCACTGCCGATGAAATCGTTTTTAAAATTATTTCAACATAATAGCAAATAAGTTGGCAATGTAGAGCGTTTGAACTAACTCTCGATTTTCTGAGGGATTTCAAGGATTGGTGAATAATTTAAGATCATTCTTTGAATTCTGAAATGAAGTAGTAGAATTACGCTAGTGTTTTCAGTTCACTGAGATACGTTAATGATTTTTCCTCGATTATGAAATTTTACGAAATATGTCAAAGTAGGAATAGGAGCTCATTGCAGCTATTGGATGGTAGTTGTCAGATATGCGCAGAACTCCTCGGATTTCTTACCTGTAAAGAAAATATAGTTTTATCGGAATACATAATTTGAGAGTATTTCATAATTCGTACCAGCTAACCAGTTAGCTTTTTTTTATTTGGCCAAATTAACCTACACTACATTGTTGTAATTTTGAAGGATTTAAAATAATATGAAGAATCGGTTGGTGTCTCAAGTTCTTGTTGCTAACAAATATCGAAGACAAAGACAAAGACTCGACCATCGAAGTCATTTCCTATTTGTTCAGAAGTGGAGTTGAGGGATGGAATTAATAGTTTTAGTGTTGGCGGGGTTTACCTGTCACTTATTAATTATGCATATTGTAAAAAAAAGTGCATTAATGTTAGGGACCTGTTGCATGAAGCTTTTATCAGGGTATCAGTTCATCCTTAACCACTTCCCAATCCGTCTTCAGATTATCACACTTCAGAAGCGTTAAAAAAAATCTACCTTAAGGGTTTATATTGGAAGATGTTCAGGGACTGTTAATTTTTTCTAATATAAAATTATCGAAATTTGTTTAAATGACGGTAACTGTTGAGAAAAGAGTTTATCATGAATTTTTATTCTGGGCTGTGCAGTTTCTCGTCCATTTGGTCATTTTTCAGCTTCCATTTTTTTTAGATTGCTAAGACTGAAGAGAAGTTTCAGCAGATTTATCAGGAGTTAATTGATGGGGAAGTTAGAGTTCGGGTCGTGACTTTGCTCATAAATTGGAAGAAAAGTGCAACTAATTAAATTTTCTCTTTATGCCCTAACTTGAGGTAAGCTGCGTAAATTTAGTCGAGATATAAGTGAAGAAGTGAAATGAATACTGAAAGAATTGCAGAACGCTCTGCTGGGTGCGGAGCACTTGTTTATTGGAGCAATAGATAAAATATTTTCATCATGTTATGGTAGAACTGTGAGCATATCTTAAAATCAGTCAGTTTTGAACTGAAAGCAGGATTTAGCGTATTTCATCCCTTTTGCAAAACATTTGTGAAAATAAGATTTTTTTCGCTAATAGAAATCTTTATCTCCGCTGCAACTTTTGTGTGAAAAGGCAATGATGTTCACATCGTTACATCTACCATTGCTTACGGTTGGTTCTGGAAAACGTCATTATTATCCGATTTGAATGCTTGAAAAACTGAAATAATTAGCTGCACAAAATTCATTGCTGTAGATACTAAACTAACCGTTTTTTTTTTTCCACTGCAAAGTTTGGAAATATCACATCATCTTGTACGTCTCGGTTTTGGAACAATCCTAATAATTAAAGGATGTAGGGTAGGAAAGAGTTGAATTATTGGTGTTATTTAGTGATTGAGAGTTTAGAAAAATTGTCAATTTAATAAGTGACGAGTGATTTTCTAACAGTAGTAATTTGCAGGAAGATTTGCATAATGAATGCACTGAAAGGCAACTAAAAATATCAGAAATTCTGAATGCATTTGGTACGATAAGTACAACAATTTCGGAAGGTTTCTGGCTTGTTACTTCGTCGGAGGATACATCGTCAATTTTCGATCGAATGCAGGTTTCCGCAACTTTAAGTCAGCAATAGAGTTTCCATCTATTAAAATAGTTTATGTGATTGCTGACAAGGTATTTATGGCAGGTACTTATTCACTTCCATCAGATATATGGTCTCTCACTCCACCAGATATGTAGACGTTATTTCCTAGATAAGGGAATTCAATATCAGCTCATGATTAACTTTGTAACGAGGTATTTTATATATGTTTTTTAAGGAAATGAGAACTGAGTTAATGACATATGCATCCAAAGTACAAGAAAGTATCGGGGAAGCAGATCGTTTGTGTGCGGAAGGCGCCGAATTTCTCACACCGGATCAATTTCATAGTCTTAAAGAGCATCGGAATAAACTTGAAACAAACTACAATCAACTTCTGCAGCATACCGATGTCATTTTACCAAGGCAATTAAATTTACAAATAATACTATTCAAATAACAAGCAGTTTAGATATTAGATTGCTAAGCTTCCCGGATGAAATCATGAATCCGAATATACAATAAGGCCATGAATTTGCCTCTTTGAAAATTAGTTCAAATCAGATGATGTAAATATATATCGGAATCCTTTCTGCGTTAACCATTTCCTATTTTTAACATTTTGCAGCAGTTTTAAGTAAATGAATCTTTAACTGTTTTCGTTAAGATTAAATGCCTTGACAAAACTGCTGCTGGAATTTTCAAATGAGTCGAGCTTGCTGCATTCATTTCTGAATGAAAAAGCCAGAGAATTGACAATTATCAGAGCGGAAAGTGGTGACCCACAAGTACTTCAAGGGTCACGCCAAAAAGTTAAAGTAAATTTGATTTGATTGAATGAATTAATAGTCCACCGGTAATTTAATTGTTAGGCTAAATTTAATAGTTCGTCAACAGTCATTTTTCTGCTTATGTTTCAAACAGGGATGGCGTGTGACCACTCAAAGATGTTAGCTAGTTCTAAAACAATATAAATCAAAGCTGTTTCTGCTGAATCCATTGTATATCTAGGGAATATTGGATGAAGTGATAACCGCAAAAGAACGTTTGAGAGACATCTGTGCGCTTTCTGTACGTATACAATCCGAAATTGACGGTTATGTGATTGAAATGCGTTTACAGTATCCCAGTGCTCAGTTCCCGTCTATAGATGCGCATGAATTGACTGGTACGATCTCTAGATTACAGGTAAGTACAGGCAAAAGAAAAAAAAAAATTTTGTCAAAGAAAATCGTTTCTGATTTTTCAAACACATTTATTTCGATAGGACGAACTAACTCTGGTATCATACGTCTACTATGCTCATGTATGTAAAGAATCATTTTTTAGGCTGATTACGATATCTTACTTCGAAATTGCCATGAGTTATCCGCATATTTGAGTCAACTGAAGTCGTTGGCAACGGCGTATACACAAAATGCAGAAACTCTAAACGAGTCAATCACAAATTTAGAACGGGAAATTTCTGAGACAGAAAGCATTTTGCGTAATACTGATACTATAGATGATGGCTCCCTTATGTCTCAACTGTAAGTACTTACCGCATCATGTCGATGAGATTTCAGTGCATTAGAATAGAACTTTAAATTCTCGCTTACTTGAAAGAATTTAGCAGTATTACTTAGGAATTTGTCTGGATTTTGAATTTGCATCGAAAATATCTGTAAATATAAGATATACTTGAGTGCAGAATTTCTCCGTACACTTTTAATAAAATTTCTCCGTACACTTTTAATATTTTAATAAAAGGTAAAGTGAGATATAGTAGTATTTTAGTAGTGTAGTCTAAAACTTTGTTGCCTAACAATGAAGCATCTTTGGCATGCCTGTCGCTTTGCTCACAGTGAAGTCGAAATTGTGATAGGATTTTGAATGGACAAAAAAGTTACTTAATTAGAAACTTCGTTTTCATAAAATCTTTTCATTTTGGAAGAAAAAAAAAGGAAACGATAAATTTTCCCTAAAGGAAAAAGCACTGATTAAACAGTGATGTCAGTTTTTTCTTTTATAGTTCTTAGATTGTAGCAAGTTATCCGGAATACCTATATTTTTGATCAAATTTTCAAAAGATATTGCCAAAATCTATGCAGATAAGTTGCACTTTTTTGCGAAGTGTAGTGCCCACAGTTATAGTTTTGTGTCCCAGTTTTTGTGTTTTTGGTGTTAGTCTGCAGTGGAAGTAGGTGGACTGTGGCATAATTGGCGCACTGATTAATTAACGCAATTGTCAGTAGAATGTGAGTTCGAGTTCAGTGGTGGAAACAAGAACAACCATTGCTTTGCTTGGAAATGATGAGGATTATTTCATTGAAAAGTGGGAATCTCTATGATTTGTTATGATTATTTCCAAAACTGATCCAAGCGCTGTTTTATTTCTGCTTCATGTAAAATCTAAAATCATCTGATTTGTTTCTTTTAAATGAAGGCGTCGTAAAAGTTGATATGCATAATGGTAATTCAAATTTTACGCTGATCCTGCTTTCTTTTGCTTCACAAAATTTCTATTCATAAGGGAGGATTTAAAACTACTTCAATAGCTCTTCTAAATATTATACCATCATCAGAAATAAATTCTTTGAAAAGTGAGGGCAACATTTGAAAATATCTCCGAAATTTTTGCTGGTCGTTTAAAGCATAGAAATTATAGATTATCCGAACTGGAAACACTGCAGCATGCCTCATTCGAACAGACAGGCAAGATTGAAACGGTTATGCGATCCGCTCTGGATCTTAGCAATGCACTTGCTGGCACCGATGCTCATGAACGTATCTCTAGTGAAAATCAGCGTTATATCGACGAACTTGCACGAAGGTCTGCATTTCTGCAATTTACTTATATAATTTTTGTTGCGAATGCTACCAGAAAAATATTTTGGTTTCCCACATAACGAATCTAACTCATTTTGGTTAATTTGATGTGAGATCTAATCTTACATATTCTACTTATTTCGATAACAATACACTATCTGGATTTTTAACCCTATTGATGCTCTATAACGATATGACATAATTTTAATCATAATAAATGACAATAGTTTTACCAATGTAGTGGATTTTGTTGTATGCTGCATTTGTCAAGTCCAATTAACTTATTAACGAGCTAAGAGATTTGAACAGGTCATTTTGTTAGTTTACTGAATTTTCAAAAATATTTTTAAACACTTATTATTTCACTAAAAGAGCTTTCAGACAAATTCGTGCTCAAAAAAGGATTGAAGAAAACATTGATTCATGGCGTAGTAAATTAACAAAAACGAATGGAATCCGTGAAGGCATGATGAATGTAATGAGCTGGCTAGATGAAGAAAACAAACGATATTCGGAACCTGTTTCACTACCTCTCTATGTAGACAAACTAATTGAATTGGTTTGTAACTGCTTGTTCTTTGGATGGTCCATTATAATTAAACTAGAATTACAGTTGGACTGAATAGAGCTTGAAAACATTCTCGATGAAAAGAAGTGGCTTTGTACTGAGTATTCAAGAATGTGAATCTCTTCAATAACCGTTGGTATGCTGAAAAATCATTTATTTTAGCGGCATCAGAATGAATTGCGTCAGCGTGAAATTTCGTCACGTCAAAAAGTTCTTATAGAATTGCAAGCGGATGCTCAAAAAATAGCAGCAGCTAATCCGGATTCAGTAGCCAGTCGACAGATCCTGAGTGACTGCAGCGATGCTCAGAGGAAGTTTGCAACGTTATTTGCGATTTCGAAGGTCCATATCTTCAGAATTTTTTCATTTTTCTAAAACAAGTTAAAGAGGAAAATTTGAGTTGTTAGCTATTCGGATATTCAAATACTTATCTGAGTATATTTAGGTTTATGCTAATAATATCACGGAACTGTGCACAGCTCTGACTGATTTCAATGATTTGGAAGCGTCGATCAACAAGAAATTATTATTGTTGAATGAGAAGCAATCCAACGCGTCGCTGACAGATATAAATGGATTAAGTGAAATTTCCAATGAACTGAAACAGTTAGCGCAGGGAGAATGGAAAGAAATGGAAAGCAAATGCAAGTGGATTCTTACCGTGCCTAACGTAATCGAAGACAATTGTTTGGAGAAAAATGTTCGTTTTTGTGCAATTTCCCACTTTTTATTTAAAATTATTTTGTCTTCGCTCTTGTTTAGCCTGTTTTCTCGACCACTAAAAAGTATCGACATTTTCTTTCTTTCGATTTTTCAATCACCAGGATACTTCAGCACATCAATCTTATCAATTCCATCTGATGTGAAATTTTTTGCAGTACGGTTTACTGTTGACTTGTTTCATGTACTATAACCATTTAAAAGTAGATGAAGTGATTATTCACATTGTTTGTTGCAGGTTTCTCACATCGATAATACGATCAGAAAATGTATTTCACGGATTGAGGAGCTTATCAGTCGTGGGCATGAAATTGGAAAACTATGTCAAACATCTAATGAACTGAAAAACAAACTTAGTGCAAATCTAGAAGATTTGGAAACAAGAGCTCGAGGTAATCAATCAACTTTCAAGAGAGTATCACTTTTATCAAAAAAAAAAGGGGTTTTTTTCCCTGCAGAATTAATTGATGTCTGTTACGGTTCAGCTTATATTTCAGAAAAATCTTTCTCTTCTTTCAAGCTGGATCTATCGTTTCGGTACTAATATAGTATTGTGTATTATCTGTAGAGAGGTACCAAAAATTTCCGTTTGAGACTCGCAGTTGTACTTTTAGTCGTATTTGTGAGTTGCCAATCATAATGATATTTTCTCGTGAATTAACCTGAAGTATTTGTAGTTTTGGAAGAGTGTTCGTTGAATCCGGTAGATTTGGCTAAACAACGTTCAACATGCCAGCAATTACAAACGGAATGTCAGCATTGTCGCTCCGAATTTGAAACACTAAGTGACACTGTTTCGAAATTGGTTGAAATTGAAACCATTGCCAGGTTGCAAATGTTCAAGTTACAAACAATCTATATTTCTCTATAAAATTCAAATCCATCCACTCAACATAGTTCAAATTTTTATTGAAATCAATTTATTTGTAATTATGCGGTTCTTCTGCAATGGTTGGCGGATTAGGAATTATAAATTGCAATAATAATATTACAATAAATAAGGAAACAGCAATAAAAAGAATATCTATGACTGTCCAGTAATCCTGGGTATGTTCGAAAGTGATTTGGCCACATTTTTGGGTTTCAAAACAGGTTTATAATAAGAAATCGTTCTGATTCTGTATAATTTAGTTACTGTTGTCGACGTAATATTTGTTGACTCCAATCAACATATTATGGCCTGAATGAGATTTTCACATATTTTTTCATTGTAGGAGCACACTTCTGCATATATCACCAATAACATTTCAGTTGCTATCCACGATTGGCTCCATAGAGCAGTAAATTGAAATTCTACCACAATATTTTTCATGATTCACGGAATTTTTCCTCTTTTTCAGTATGAAGATGAAGGGATGTGTTGGACAGTCGAAACAAGTTCAGGAAGCACTGCGTGAAATGTCTTCTCTGCAGCAAAGATATTCTTCTTTGGGCTGTTTTCTTCAACTAAAGAATGAAAAGATCATTAGAGATATAGAAAAATTGTCGGATTGGGATTTGCAGCGAGACAGTCTTGCCCGTTGGATCAGTAACGAAAACAAACGATTGGTTAGTTTCTCTTTTTTCCAAATGTAAGATTTTGGAATACTTAAGATATGTTCATTTGAAATCAGGTGTATTTATTTTCGATTTTACAATTTGTCAAATTCCTGGAAATATCTTTTTAGTGGAATATTTTTTTCCTTTAAATAACATCAGGTAAACGATTGGTTTTCTGGTAAGTTATTATGCTTTGAATAGCATTAGCCTGATCTGTTCAATAAAACTTTAGGAGAAGGCACTATCCATGCACTTTCTTTGTACTATTAAATTTTCTTGCAGAACACGGACTGTCCTGTAACACTTGTTAACGATGTTGTTCGTACAAATATTGCAAAAGCAAAACGACTGGAAGAAGTTCTTGTCATAGAGAAACAATTAGAAATGGAAGAAATTCGAAGTAAGGCGCGTTTGTTAACAAGTGAACCGTCTATCCCTGGAACTTCCGATATAATAAACTCTCAAAAGGCGCTTGAAACTGACTGGGGAAAACTGAACCAAGCGGCAAAAACTTTAAAGGAGTGGAATGAAAGTGCAGAGTTGCTGCTTGAAGGCTAGCTTTTTTTCCTTATAGAAACCAGAAATTTGAAATTTATTTTGAAATTTATAACATTCGAAATACTAATTTTATAACGATGATGTTTTCAGGCGTAACAAGTCTTGATAAATGGCTGACACAAAAGGAACGGATGATATCGGTCATTGGAACTATTAATATTGATCCTAAAGTTATAGACAATCAGCTTATACAAATTAAGGTATTTGTTTCTTCCGTTTTCTTTGTCTCTCTGTTCTCCCTTTGTTGTCATGAAGTATTGTGGTTTGCAGTTGCTTCGAGGTGAACTGGAGGATCATGGTGCAGCCCGAAATAAAGTAAACGAATTGGCACATAATTTGGTGGCCAGAAGTGCAACTCCAGTAAGCGCACAGCAAATTGTCATGGAGGTAGGTGAATGATTTTCTCGAAAGAATAAATATTAATTAAAAAAATTTTAGCTGTCGATCAGAGTTGTCTTTTTAGATGGACACATTAAATCGCCGATGGATTTCATTTCATGATGAATTGGAGAAAAAGAAAGTAACTCTTCAAAAAGTCAAAGAACTTGGATCAAAATTTTCTATCAAGCAGCGAGATGTGAAGTAAAGTTTTCTAATTCTATATTTTTACCCATCTCGCGCTTTTGTATATGTAAAATAAATTTATTTGTTACATCATTAGAATTTTTTTCATGATATACCCGATGCAATGAGCATTGAACGGATGAATCGCTACTGAAAGACTTAAGACTTGTTCAGTTGAAATCAAAATTTTCAAATCTGAAACTTAGGAGTTTCGAAAATGTTTAAGGAGACAGATTTCACCGTGATATTGAAAATGCAATATTTTAAGAATGCAATTGATCAGTGTCGCAGAAGCAATAGAACAAATAAGTCGTTCACCGCTAACGTCTAAAAACGATGTTGATGATCAATTAAAAATTTTGAATGCATCAAGTACACGATCATCCGAAATAAATTCACAGTTAGAAGAATTGAAAGAGCTTGTAAATTTAATCTGCGAAATCTCACAAGATCACAGCTTACAAACGGATGTACGAGAGCAGCTAAATACAACGGTGCAAACTGCCCAGGAACTGAATAAGAAAATAGGTAACTATTGATATCAGAATATTTTATTGCATCAACTGCTATGCATACTCTTACTGTTATCACCATTCATTTCAACTATTTAGTTCTTATATGGTTTACTTGCTTGTAGCAGTTTTATAAGTTCGTTTAGTTTGGATAAGGAATCAGAATACACCAAAGGTAATTTATCTGCTCTTTTTAACTTTTTTTATTAGAGCTTGTCATTTTACTATTTATCCTCTTTGTTTCAGCGAGACACTGCTAAACATTGTCCGATGTAATTCGAATTAAATTTGAGCTATATTAAAGAGCCTGAAAATACAATCTTCCGGTAGTCACTTAGTTAAACCACGGATAATATAAATTTTCTACTACAGAAAGTATGAAAGTAGCGGCAGCAAATGCAAAGGATGAAGAAGGTCAAACAATGATGGAAGCCGAAGCAGCAGTAAAATGGGTAAAAGATATGCAGGAGCAGCTTTCTGATTTGGGTCCTTTATCAGTGAATTCTATAGAGCTCGATGAACAACGAGCAGCAATTGAGAAAATTTACGGTGCCGTGTTGGATATGGAGGGTGGTATTACCCTGATAAGGTTTATAACTTTACAAAATTTTGAGTAAATTGTTTTTGATTCAATTCCTTGGACCTGCTTTTAATGATGTATTCGGAAATATTTCGACAGGAATTATGGGATTTTTTAATTTAAATCCTGCTGTGACTATGATTTGTCATTTCTTAGTGTACATTTATCAATGTTAAAATATAATGTCCAGTAATAACTGCCGTCCTATAATAGCTGTCTCGAGTTCATCCATTGCAACCCGTTGTATCCGTCACATAATCAGTAATTATTTTGGATTTCACAGAGTAATTTTGTGCAAATTATCAATTTCATGTTACTCTAAGTACCCTCAGTAAACTTCCAAATTTTGAAATAATATTTCCAGAGCAAAACTAATGGATCAAATAAAAAAAGCACCAAATTCGAAGCAAAAAACAACGCTTGATATTCTATCTGCTGTTTGGAATCCACTGTTGGAGAAAATTAAAACAAAGCATGCAAATGCTGAGCGAGCTTTTGATCTCGTAAATCAGTTGGATACTTTGCTGAAATCTTTAACGATGCAAGTGAACGAGAATCGATTAAGGTTGAAAGAAATCTCAGGAAACAAGGCTGGTCCAATTCCACAATCTTTCAAGATTTATCAAATTAAATATCCAGGAAGAAGTGATGCTCAAAATTATTCAGAAATATCATTAAAAATTTTCATTTGCTTTCCTAACATTTATCGTTTTCATTCAGTGAAGCATCTCACGACTTCGATTACAAAATATCCATTGTTTGTATTGAAGAAAATAAGCACTTTTTAGATGCTTCAATAAATGTCTGTCTTTGTAAGGAGTAATTTTTTCTTTAAGGCAACAATTGACAAAGACCTGTAATAATTATCTCCACAAGTTTCTTAGACCTGCAGCATATATTAATCTCTTTTGATATTGTTTAGGATAATGATATAACTGAGTTAGCTGCTATGAAGCAGGAAATTGGTAAACATGAACTTGAACTTGCTATGTTGGAAACTCTGCTAAGCAAATTGGAAGTGATCACAACTGGACCATCATTGAAAAAGCTTGGTAGGGAAGTGGAAAACGTAACTGGAGATTTGAGGACATTACTGAAAGATATCAAAAATGTTTGGCAGAAAGTGCAAATATCGGTAAATCTCTATTTATGGAATCTTTGAATTTCTATAAAGATTTTATCATAATCAAGAAATCTCAGGCAGGGAAATGCAGAGGTATGCGCAGTTCCACCAACGTAAGCTGATTTTGTTATGCTTCTGAAAATATCCAATTTTTCTTTTTTTTTTTTTTTTAAGAAGGATATCCAGAAACAATTTTCAAGAAGAAGAGAGGAAGCGCAAAGTCTGTTAGACGCAGCGAAAGAAACAGCTGAAAGTTTGAAAAGAGATGATAACATTCCATCAATTACAAGAGAAGTTTTGTTGAAAAGTAAGCATTTTGAAATGACTTTAAAAAATTGACTGTTTCCAGTTGGTAGAGGTGCTGCACATGTTCAGTGCTTTCGCATGTGCAAAATATTCGGAATCAAAAATGATTAAAATTCTGTCAGATCTCCATACACTTATTTCTAGTTCCGTTAATTCTCGTTAATTCTCACTTTTAAAAAACTTTTCTAACATAGGATACCCTTCAAGATTTGTTGATTTTAGCAGTTAATGACCTTGAGAACAGCTGGCACAAGAAAGAACGAGAATTACTTGCGGCTTTGAAAGATATCGAAGGAATTGTTACACGTGAAGAAGCTGAAAATCTCCATGAGGATGTGCGTAAAATGGGTGACGAATATGTTCAAGTGGTAATGATTATCCAAGGTTTACATTGTAATATGAAAATGAGGGACGAAATGTTGGATGCCGTGAAACAAAAGATCAGTTTACTAACTTCTGAGATCCGGAGTATAAATAAAGTAAGTGTCTAACTGAAGCTGCAGATCTTTAATTTAAATTCGTCTTTTTTCCCACTTTGACATATTTCATTTGTGAATTACTAGAGAGGAAAAGAAGTAATTTTAAATCTTTTAGATTTTGTTATTGATGATAAAAAAGTGGTATTTAAAGAGAGTTATTCTCTTTTCTTATATGTTAATTTCTCATTGTTGGAGAAAGTAACGAATGGAAAAAGCCAGATTTTTTTTAGTCAACGAATTGCCAAGTTGTTATGTCTAAAATTTCTTCGTTGATAACCAAGTTGTTATGTCTAAAATTTCTTCGTTGATAACGCCAAAGAAGGAAATTGTTTCATGTGCAGTACTTTTCTGGACAACGTATGAAATATTCTGGATTCAATTATATCTCTGGTTGTGAATACGAAGAAAGATCTAACTGTTTCAGGAAAAAAAAAATTTCGTTTTTATTTTAAAGTAATTATAGGATTCTTTGTCACCGATCGAACGCAATATTGTGGCATTGGAACAACAGAATAGGGCTTGTGATGAATTACTGAAAAGTACTGCTGAAAAAGAAAAGGTTATTCAGCCTTAGTTTTAAATTGTTAAATTTCACTAATTTTTTTCATCCCACTGATTTCACTGTTTTGGAAAATACAGGATGCCATTTCGCATTCACTAATGCATCAAATCCAAATCTGTGTATATAGTCGTAGCTGCTTTTGTAAAATGGTAGTTCCCATTCTACAGATTAGAAACCTATAAATCATGAAAGACTCGGGGATAATAGTAGTGCATCCATTATAGACTCATATTACTGCATGTATATGAAAATAAGTGGAATTTTTGAGTTTATAATCAGGTTTTGGACGAGTTGGCGTTGGAATGGCAGCAACTTTGGAGCACCACGATCACTCAGACAACACAGAAAAATGCAGTGATGCAACAAATAAATGAAATCAGAGAAGATCTAAACAAACAACGTGCTGCCATCACGCAGCGGAAACGTGTTATTGGGAACATGCTTTTGGCTGTGCAAGAATTTGTTTGGTTAGTAGTTTGTTCGGTTATACAGAATAACCAAAGTATCACTTCTTGTAACTCTGGGCAACCTGCTGAATGTCTCTGTATCTTTAAAATTCTAGACGTATTTAATCTTGCCATCCATATATGATTCGACAGCGGGATTAAAAAAGAAGAGAATGAGTTTTAGTATTCCATCCACTGGAATATCAAATCCCTGATTGTATTGAAATAGAGACCAGTATGGTGAAATTCAACATAATTGCTATGTTCGTGGCCAACTTTTATATTAATTGCATTCTCAAATACCTTTGAGTACCTAAGAAGAACCTAAGAAGCTAATGCCACTTAAATTAAGTTTAAAAATTTCCATATAGTTTTTAAATTAGGTTGTTAAGAAATAGGATTGATGCTTCAATGGAATATTATAATAGTGGGCTAATTTTAGCAAAGCAGAAGCGTTAAGGGATGAAATTGAAAAGCTTGCAACTGATAATACATTAAAAGAACCTGTTCAAACTGAACTAAATCTTCTGCGAACGCAACAGGAGAAACTGAGAATCTTCCTTGATAAATTACGGCCTACTAACCAGAACTATGCTGCAGTTCTGGAAAGTTATGATAAGCTTATAAAAAGTGCCGATGAAGGAGTCTCTACAACAACACTGGTAGGCTTTCATAAACTGTAATATTTACTTTTATAAGTGACATTAGATGATATATGTTGTTAATAGAGAGTTATATCTGTTAGTTAATCCCATGCACAAGAGGCGTAGCGTAATTCTGGAACAACATTAAAGTTGTGCGAGTATTATGGAAAAGAGTAAAAATATTATCCAGATTAGCACGCTATAGTTATAAATTAGCCAACTTCGTGTTCGTTGCAATTGTTACAGTGTAACAGGTCTCAAGTTAGTATTTTTGAATTCAGGAAGAGGAGAAGAATAAGCTTACTAGTGTTTGGAATTCTTTAAACAAGCAGATAGCAGATCGTGAGCAACAAGTTTGCGTTTCACTGCAAGAACTTGGAAGTTACACTGATGCGCATAATGCACTTCTTGTGTGGTTACAAGACACCGAAGAGTCACTCCAGAACCAACGGCCGCCTTCTATCGAATACAAAGTCGTTAAAGAGCAAACTCGAGCTAATGATATTTTACTAAAACATATTGAAGAAAAACAACAAAGGTAAGTTATTATTAACACGTTTTTTGGAGATCGGATATTAAAATAACTGGTAAATCATGAAATCAAAATATACCTAAGAATAAAGCACAGTATAGATGCTTAATAGAAGCCGTTCCGTCATCTTCAAGACATGAATGCTTTCTCCAAACACTTGTATTCCTTGTTCTCGTCGTATTTAATATAGTATTAGCCGATTATAATGAATGATTCCAAAAGTTTTTGACGCGTTGTAGGAATTAAACTCTTTCCTTTGACAACTCTTCGATGCTGTCGACATATTCTGCTTGCTTCTCATTAAAGATATATTTTTATTAAAAAGATGTTTTTAGAATATATTTTCCGCCTCTTAGATTATTATATTTTCAGTATTGATGGTTTCAAAACATTGATTGATAAAGTTGTGGGACTTATAACAGATGTTACGAAACGTGAAATACTGAAAGAGCAATCAAACAATATCACACAAAGGTCAACAACTATTCAGTGTTTTCAATTAAAGTTAATTTGTCCGAATATTTTGCAAAACAAGCAGGTTTTTTCAAGAATTCTATTAGTCATACTGAAAAATGGCAGATCGGAAAGCACCTACTGCGATCAATTAAATTTAATAGAAAAGAAAAAAGCAAGAATGAAATGATGTGCCACAGCAGATTGATAGGCAATTTCATCACGACTTTCTAGTCATTAAGGTTAGAGTCATTGAGATTTTATAATAATTGCATATCGGACATGATCACGTGGATTGCTTAAAGTACTGCACGTTAAACGTAATTCATGGCAGTTTTTTTGGCCTTTTGAGAATTATGTTTTCCTAATGGTGATATAAAAAGGACAGAGTATTGCATCAGTAATATATGTAAGCTTTTAGGCTATTTTAAAATGTCTGATTTACGTTTATGAACTGAAGTCGATCTCTGTACTTAGGTACGTTGCACTGGTCGGAAACGCCCAAGATCGACGTAGTTACTTGCATGATGCTATTGTTCTAACCAAAGATTGGGCGCAGTTGTCGGGACCATTTAAAACGTGGCTTGAAACAACCGAGCGTGCATTGCAAGAACTTGGACAAGTACCAACCGATGAAGAAAAATTTCAACAACAAATTAACTCACATCAGGTTCACTTTTTTGCAGCACTCTATGCAACCTTTATCCTGTATTTTCTGTTCAAGGTTTCGTGACATTGTTCAGGCTCTTCCTCTTAATTACTCAAATAAAAGAAAAAATGTAGTATAGTCAAAGTCCTTTAGGAAAGAAGCGAAAATTAGTTATTATGGTGGATTAGGAACAAAAGAGAAGAGCAGTCTTTCCGTCGGCACTTTGGCGTTTAAAATTCAGATAAAATTTGTTAAAAAATTTCAGAAACTGCAAGAAAATATCGAAATGAAGCACACCGATGTGGAGAAGATGATGCAGATATGTCCCCTTCTTACTGCTTTAGCGTCTGATGAAGAAGCTATTGAATTGGAGACACTGTTTAAAAGCTATATGATACGGTATGAAAACTTGGGTACGCGAGCTGCTGAATGCGGAGTCTTACTACAACAGGTGATTCGAGTGTTCTTTTTTGTTTTTTGTTTTTCGTTTTTTTTTTTGTATTTGAAGTCATTAAATTGTTTTCTAGTTAGCTATGGCACATAAGCGGAGACACGCAGCAGACAGTACAATGCTAAATAAATTTTTTTGGTGGTTGTTCGCGATCATGACGCAAGCAAGTAGAACTGGTTGTAATTAGAAATATAATGTATAGCTAGCTCATCACATAGTATTTTCATAACATAAAAAGAGTATCGTATAGAAAATGTTTGTGTCCGTGATCATTAAAAAAAAATTTCTTTTTCATATTTGTTTTGTGGGAATTTTGTATTTGAATTTCATCCTCAGAGGTATAGGAGTGGAAAGTATAACTTTTACGAATTCTTAATTCACTTTCCAGATTGGTGAAGAAATAACAAACTTTTTACAACGCACGCACATGCTAGCGGATTGGTTGGATAAGATCGAGAATGATATGGACAAGTTAGACACGGTTTCGGTCTATCCAGAAGAATTGAGGGAGCAAAGTGCTTTGCTTGCCGATGTATGGATGCACTGTATTCCTCGCATTATAAACTAATATAGCTTCATAAATTATTAAAGATTTTATAATCTCATTTCGATGTAGAGCGTATGTCTGTGACACTACCACAAAAGCGACATGTAACGACATGGTGAATCGTGATGAAATAGTAAGGAAGAAATTTATAATCAGTATCATTATTCAGTTTCTTGGTGTTCTAGCTGGCGATGGAAATAGCGAATCAGGAATCCCTGATCTCGACGGTTGTTGAAGATGGTCATGAATTATGTAGACAAACAACTGGCGATGAAGCAATTGCTCTCCAAAATCGTGTAGAAACATTACGTACACGCTATCTTGATTTAACTGCTCTGACGGATGCTAAAATTGCTATCTTGAGTGAAGCCTTACCACTATCAGAGAAATTCCATGATGATTGCGATATTGTACAGCAGTGGATGGATGCTGTAGAACAAGATTTACAAACTGTTGATCAGGTACCGATTATTTTATTTATATCAGTATTACTGGTAACATAACATTATTGCTGCTTGTACGATTCTTTCAGGAGAGTTACATAATGTCTAATTGTTTTGCTCTGATTCGTAAGTTGATCCTAGCGATGACATTAAGATAGCCGATTGAGATTCAGAAATTAGATTTTAAAAAAAATCTGGTAATTCGAAAAATTAATTTCGTAACATAAGGACTACCTTTTTCTAATTCAGCCACTGTAGACTGCGGGTGAAATTATCTTTTGCTTGATTAAGGTGCAATATAGATTTTTGTAATGATGTACTTTTTATCGACTACTGTGAGGCACAAGTAAGTTCGAGAAGCGTTTTTTTTTTCAGAAAAAAATTTTGGGAAATAATAATATAAGACGTTTCTTTCAAAAGATTTTCATAATAATATGTTTCAGACCCCAATTGAAACTCAAGCTACGATACTAGCTCAAATGGAAGATGATTTGGCAAAATGGCGTTCTGATATTGAGGAGATTAGCGATATCTCAAAACAACTCCAGAATCTAGTTCCTTTTAAAGTACATGGGTTGGAAATACAAAACGATGACTTGACTCGCAGATTTAATCACCTTGCTGAGCAGGTCAAATGGGTGTTTCAACTTTGTAAAATCTGACATTACAGTCGATGACATTACAGTTCCGGGTTGATGATCAGAAATTTTCTCGAATTCTGTAAATGAATCGCTTTTCATGCTTCATAAATAGAAATTTTTGAATTAAGGACTGTTGTGTTCAGATTCGTATGCAGAATCGTTTTCAGATTACGCGTAAAGGTGATAAACTAATGTCAGTCGAGAAGCAAAGTCGACAGGTTTTGGATGAATTAGACTTTCTTAATGAATGGTTTGCTGATGCTCATGAACGTTTATCACAGGTGTTTTTTTATGATCTATTAGAATATTGCAGTCGGTATGACTCGCTGCTACGTAATTCTTCCGTTGTTCATTGTACGACAGTCTTTTTGATGCCACCGTTTTTTTTTTCAGGTTTCTTTTCCATAAAAAATCTCAGGAGATTTTAAAAATTGTCCATAAGCCTGGCCTGTGTTGCAGAGTGCAGCACCTGAAGTAGATCCAGATTATGTCAAAAAGCAGCTCAAAAATCAAAAACAAATGAACGAAGATATTACGGTAATGAAAGCACGACTGCGAGATACAGTTGCAGATGCACATAGAGTTGTTCGTGTTTTGGGTGGTGAAGCCAGTGGTCAAGATTTATTGATCGAGAGCAAAATTGAGGTTAATTGATGTAAACATACATTGTTCCTTACAGCGAATAGAATGATGGAAGAAATAGTACTGATAATGAAGTGGAAATATTTCGTATAAGAAGGAGCCATTAATGTTGACTTATTGGCAGATATAGTAGGTATTTAAGTGTGTGTATGTCGAGCGGCAATTGTGATGTCTATTTTCATTCCAGACTGGACGAAACCTTTCGGCTAATGTAGCCCAGTTGGGTGGCGAAAGGTTGGCTAAATTGGAGCAGGCGCTGGCATTATGTCTTGAAATCGACCAGTCATTTGGTGAATTGCATTCCTGGTTAGAAAGTATGGAAAACGAGATTGAAAATTGTCCACCTGTTACAACAGGACACCAACGAGATCAGTTGATGCAACAGCAAGCCCACAATACTGTGAGTTTTTCAATTTTGTTGGACAGAGTTTTATGTCTCGTTAAAGCAGCACGTATTCTCGGATAATCAAACTTATTTGAATTATTTTCATTTGAAGTGATTAATATAACTTAATGCATACTTCTTGAATAAATATCTTGCATGTGTAAATTCCAGTGAAGTAAAGTTACTGTTTTTTTAACGATCGTTAAAGCATTAAAGGATGTGAGCGAAATGAGACGTTTGCTTCAGTTATGAAACTGCTTGCGTAGCAGTATAAATATTAAATTGATTTAATTATTTGAGATACGAAATTTCACTCAATCTAGCTATGCCAAAATCACGTAAAAAGGAAAATATTGATCATAAAGCTGACTTATTCAGAAAAAACCGATAAAATATTTCATTTCTAAAAAATTGAATGGTAGAAGAAATAAGATATTTGCACTCATTTCGCTCTGAATTTTTTGAAAGATTCCTTTGAATGTCCAAAAATCTTACCTGTTTCTTTTATGAAAATATGGTGCATTAGTGATTTTATCTTGCCTATTTTTTTTTTTTTTTTTTTTTATTAGAAGCTACAGCATTCAATCATATCACACAAATCGTTGATGGATCGTTTTCACAAAAATGTCAGTGCTTTGAGCCAATTATGTGGTTCAGAAGATGAAGTGCAGCTTCAGAAAATAGCTGAAGGCTTGGATGAGCGATTCTTCGCTGCCCGAGATACTATTCGTCAACGAGCTGAGGCACTTGAAACCGCAATTGAGCAGAGCAGTCAGTTCACAGACAGATTGGATGTTGTTCTGGCAAATCTAGATGGTGCTGCCATGCAAGTATGTACACTGATATTTACACTAGTTACAAGAGGTACTCCCGTATCCACTCTTAAATCTGTAATTTTATTCAGTGGTTAGCTATTTTTATACGCATTGCGATAATGATTACAGATCCGAAATCCGGAACCAATACAATCCGATCCAGAACGTATCAAATCACAAATTATTGATAATCTTTCTTTGATGGAACAACTTAAACATAAAGAAGGCGTACTGAGATCAGTGAAGGAAAATGCCTACGAGATTCTAATGCATGCAAAACCAAGCGATACTGGAGCTGCAGGTACAATCATTGGTATTGATAATCGAATATATCAACATAGAAAGCATTAAGCATACCAAGAAGTAATGTAAATAAGAGCGCAATGCAAACTGATGATAGAATGAAACCAAATGGTATTTACGACACTTTGTTTGAATCTTATGCAAATCCTATAATTGTCAACTGCGAATATTTTTTTGTTCTGCAGAAATAAGCATTAAAATCAAAGAACTTGAATCGTTGTGGGAAGAACTAATGAAAGATGTTACGACAAGGAAAAATCTTTTGGAAGATACGCTAGCTAAAGCGGAACGGTTTTGGTGCGAATTAAATTCTTATCAAAAGGCGATTAATGAATTGCGTTTGCGCATTGAAGGAATACAACCTGCGCTTGGAGATCCAACGACTATTGAGCAGCAGCAAAACATCCTCTTAGTTTGTTGATTGCTTGTTTGATCAAAGCTTAAAGGTGCTAAAAGTTAATTTCCGTTCAGAGTCCCTAGAATTCCAACATTCATCACTGCAATTTGTAAAAGGAGGCAATGCGAGGATTAGAAAGTAATTCGTTCATTATTACAGGCAATTAAAAATGAAATGCAACAAATCAAACCCGAAATTATGGGTAAATTGCGTTGCGCTGGACATGATCTTTGTGGTGTAATTGCCGAGGAAGAAAAGGCTCATATAGAACAGCAAATGAATGAAGTTGAAGGAGGCTGGGTTACGGTAACTGACATGTGCGATCGGAAGTAAGTTTAGGATTTATTTTTACATTAATCAATTTTAATTAATTCTCTAGTGGACCAGATGTTCGTAGAAATATGACTTAATATTATGGTGTTATAAAGAGAGCAACATATAAATTTCAGGGAATCAGATTTAGTTGAGGCCATGAATAAAGCAGTAGGATTCCGTGATTTATTAACGAAGCTGATAAATTGGATAGCAGAAACGGAAGCTGAAATATTCAAGTTAAATCTTGGTGCTGGCGCATCGTCTAGTGATATTGGAAATGAGGTATACATTTAGCTTCGAGTTTTGTAAAAGCCTACTTTCGACTGTTAAGGAATTATTTGGGATCTTTTGTTTTGTAAATTCCATCTCATATTTTATCTTTTATAGTTTACTGCTCTGGGTGATTTGCGTTCATTACTGGACGAAAAAGCTCTGGAGAAAGAACAGTTGAATCAACTATATGCAAATCTTTGCGTTGGTAGTAATGCACAGCAATCTGCAAACATCAGAGCTTCAGTCAATGACCTGAATACTCAGTGGAATAAAGTTAGTGTACATTTAGTGTTGACTGCGTATTGTGAAGTCGCTAGAGGCTTCGTTCGTCCACTGTCTCTGATTTCACATTGCTGACAAGGCTTTATGCAAAATAAAGCTGTTCATTAGTCTGAGAAATTGTCTTTGTCAATTAGCAAACGTTTTCTATAGTGTTTTTCTGATCAATTTTCGGGCTCGTATGTATTAGTGGCCTGGTATGTATCAATCTTTGTGTATCAGTATATGACATTTTGTGGAACAGCCTGGCCAGACTTCGGCAGTACAGTCCTGTTCTTCTACTTTCGGAATCTAAATATATGTTATTTCTCTAAGCTGGCCATAGGTACACTTAGCGAAATGGTTTTGTTGTAAAGAATTGAAAAATCAGATTGTTAATGGTTATGTTTTATTTAGTTTTGAAATATGATGGAAATAGTCAGTCAACTTCCCGTAGTTTGAATTTTTTATACGATTTTAAATAAATCAATTTAGTGAAGTGTTCGGGACGGTCCCGGAATGAATGGCTTTTTTTTGAACAGCTTGTTCAGATCCCCATAAACATGCTTCGGTTTGAGATCTAATCTGCAGTTGTCTGTCAGTAACGTGCGTAATTTTACATTGTTCTTTAAGAATTTTCGAGTGCAAGCAATAGGACAGTAATAACCTAAAGTTTTTTGTTTGTGTATTCTTTCGTGCAAAGAATCTGATTTAGCACTTGAAAACGAAAGGAAAAAGAGTGGGTTATACCATATAATTTATCTTCTCACCTCGATGAGGTGCTGAACGGTAGAAATCATTTAAGTATTAATTAGAATTTCAAATTTTTTCAGCTCTGCCGCAATACATTAAAATTATGTCAGTTGTATAGTGTACATACACACGACCGCATGCTTGAAGGAATCGAGTTGAAAAGCATTTCCGTTCTACAATAAGCAGTGCAACACATTACATTCATTTATGATTCTGATATTTATTATCACCAAGCATAAATCAATTTAGTTATACACATTGTTAAACGAACGTCAACAAAAGGTGGAAAAAGCGTTGTTGGAAATGGGGCAGTTTTCGCAAGCATATGAACAACTAATGATTTGGATCGAAAAAACGGAGCATATTTTAAATGAAGTTTGTTTTCGTTCTTTGTCTTAGATTCTCTCTTCATGAAGATTTGAAAATCCTACATTGTTGTGAGTTCATCACTGGATATGACAAAAAGTTGACAACAGGCTTCTCGAAATTATAATTACAGCAGCACATTATCAGTTTTTTTTTTCGCCTGATGAATGCTTTAAAGTACTTTAATGGTTAACTAATTTCAGATCAATTCTCGACCGGTAACTATCAAGGAAGTGGAAGTGGAAGTTTGCAAACATAGAGTAATACAAAATGAAATTCTTGCACATGAAACCAGCGTTGATACTTTGAACAGTGCTGCTAAACGTATCATTGCTGTTGATTCAAATACTGCAAGCTCAACGCAAGCGATGATCGATAAGCTGAATTCAAACTGGCATATGTTGGTCGATAAATTAGAAGATGTTTGGGTGCAGGTGATAATTATTCACAATGTTCCAGTACTCTTCGCTGAATTGACCGGATCAGTTTGTTCAAGTGTTAAATACTTAATCTAATATTTAATGTTGAGCTAAGCGTTGTAGTTTTTATCTGAATTCGAGGATCGATAATATTCGGAAATGAACCTATTCAAAATGAATTATATCTGATTACATCGAGTTTTGCTGCTTATAACTTATGAAAGTCCAAGCCAAGTTTCATTCATTTCTGCTTTTCTTCCTCCTTTCCCAATCCTTATCACTTTTGGAGATTAAACTACCCTCGATGTTTTTGGATTTTAGAACTAAATGCTGCAAAGATGAAACATAGAATTATAGTTGGACGATGCTCGGAAAGCTGCTGAAAATTTGGGCGGTGAAGTGGATCGGTGGGCCATGTGGCTTCAGGATAAAGATGCAGATTTGTCTCATATGAAACCAACAGGTGGTTTACCGGAAACTGCACAAGCACAACTCGATAATTTCTTCGTTTTGAAGGTTCTCTGTTTTCTTAGTCATCTTTGTACCTTCATTTTTTAGCCTACTTATCCTTTTTTGGAATATTTATTCCACAAAAATTTTAGGCCGAAATTGAACAGAATCGATCGGCACTAGAAGCTCATTTGGAAGCAGCAACGAAGTATTTATCCGAAAGTGATCGTGATTCATGGATTGCACAACGGGAGGCACAGCTGATGAAAAAATGGGTTCAGGTAAATAATCGAGAAATCTGCTTGAGTAAGCTTTGATTTCAAGTAAATTTCCTTATTAGAATATTTTCTCGTTCTAAAATAAATTGGCAGTAAGTGATTATTGCAGTAATGATGAAATTAATTTTGTCGATTATGCACTAATTTCAATAAAATAATTTTTTTTTCTCTACAGATGCAAAACAAGATTGGTGATAAGGAGCAGAAGTTGAGAATTGCACTGACAGAAGCTGAACAGCTACATTCTTCTATGACGTCAATGAAGAACTGGTTAAATTCGGCAGAAAACTATTTAGGTTGTTTGGAGCACGTATCAAGGATCCCTGATACTGTGGAAGAGCAGATTAATGAACATACCAAATTCCAAGCTGAGGTAAAATTTTGGTAGTAACCGAAACGTGCAAGTTGTTGCGTGTTGATGTCTAATGAATCTGAAAGACATGAGGGACGGTACAATTGGTGGCGGTTTAGATATCACTACCATTTACATCTGAATTGGGAATATATTTCATTCTGTATGCTAACTGATTTGTCTTCAACTTCAGCGTATTTCAGGTGTCACACTATCGAGAATTAATGAGTGACTTGAACAGCAAAGGCACCAAACTGCAATATTATTGTGAAAAAAAAGATGCAATACCAATCAAGAATTTGCTTGTTTCGGCTAAGCATCGTTTCGAGAAAGTTGCTTCGAGGTGTGCCGATCGAATGAAACTACTGGATTTAGCATTACAGGAAGCACGATTTTATTTTGAATCGCATGCCGAAGTGATCGACTGGATAACTTCAAGGCTTCAATGGATTAGTGATCAATATGCACAGGTTTTGTTTTTATGTCTATACAAAAGTGCATTTTTGCTCAGATGAAAAAGCTGATGAAAAATCAGATGAAAAAGCTGGTATTGTTGTACGTGCATGGAGTCATAAAAAGTTAACATTTGATGAGAACTAAACATTTGCAGTCAATATTTTATCTTCCAGAAACTATTCATGGAAAGTTCTTTGACGATGAAATATTAACTGCATTTGATGTCATTAGTGACTACTTATAGCAGGAGATGTTCAAAATCTCAGGTCAATGCCAGTACACTTAGGGAGCAAATTTCTTGATGTCCATAAATGAAGATTGTTTGCGATTGATGAATTCTCAATAAATTAGTAGGATGTCTTGTGATTTTGTTCTTAGCTTCTCAAAAATTGAAAATAAATGACGAGAAAAATCATGGCGGAGAAAAGGAAAGATAGAGCAATTTTGAAAGATACTTTTGTATTCAAGACTGATGTATAGGTAGATGTTTCAATCAGAATTTCGAACTTCTTGTTTTTCAACTTCGTCTGTTTATCACTGACAAGGAATCATTTAAATCAACAGGACAAAATAAAAAGGTCAAGCCTTGAAAATGCAAAATACTGACGGAGCTTAAACTCTCCAACCCTATGCATTCAAATGTCGCTAGTTTGTACTATATTCGATGTCATATAAGAAATTGTACCAAGATCCTTATACCACTACGTTGCAAATGGTGATTTCCGGAGGCGTTGATAGAAAGTGAGGAATAAAAATTTACCTTAATAGGTTGAGAAATAGAGCGAGATTTTTATCATATTTTTTTGCCTTCGGCACAAATGAAGTTTTGATGGGACAATTATACGGTAAAAAGTAGAGCTCGCTCGAATCGTTTCATTTTGAAGTTTTAAAGTAAAAAATCGTTTCATTTTCCATTGAACAGTAAATGCAGTAAATATATCAGAGTAAATCAGACTAGATTTGACCACTTTTTCTTGTCATCGATTTTTTGATAATGATTAATATTTCTAGACGGCATCCTGTGATCGGTTGCGAAGTGACCTGGATAAGCATCGAAAATTCCAGCATGAATTGACGAAACAACAAACAGTGTACGAAGCAACGTATAAACGAGGTAAAGTACTTTCGGAGCATGCACCACGTAAAGAGCAGGCGGGAATCGATCTGATGAATGAACTATTGAAAGAGAGGTGGACTCAGCTTGTTAATGCTACACTGCAAAAGTAATTTCTATTGTTAATTTGTTCAACTGACTAGTTTGATAAATTCTATTTAATTTTGGAATAATTTTAAGCGGTACTGAATAAGATTGAAGTGAATCAAGTGTAGAAATTTAATAACTGAGATTGTAAAAAATTCATTTGTTCAACTCATGCCGTCATCAAAAAGTGCAGCGTGATGAAGGATCGACATTTCCGATGATAATGAAAAAATCAGTTGAAGTTATTATCCGACATCTGTCGTATTACAGACAGCGATCAATCGAGGATGCGTTGTTGGCATGTGGACAATTTGATGAGGCGTTGTCTTCACTTCGAGAATGGCTCGAAAAGTCTTTACCTAATTTGCAAAATATGGAAACCATTTCGGTGTATGGTGATTTGGAGACAGTAAACAAATTATGCGATAAGCATAACGAATTAAAGGAACAAATAGATGCTCATCGGGATACGTTGAATTCGGTGAAGGAGCGTGCGCAGCAGGTTTTGATTTTTTTTACAATTTTATTTTTTGCGATACGTTTTATTATATTCTTCTTTCGCTACAACTTGATGAACAGAATTAGATCATTATATTAGTTCATTTATTAATGGATTTTATTAATTTTATTGAACATTTATTAATGTTTCAGATGTTAAGAAAAGAAATGGATGATTCGTTGGGTGGCCTGAAAGAGAAGGTGGAAAAAGTGAGTGAGGACTGGGTACTTCTAGAGGAACTGGCAAGAAGAAGAGAGGAAAAACTGAAAATTTCTTACGACATTGCCAAAAATTTCAATTATGAAATTCACGAATTTTTGGATTTTCTACCAAAGATTGAAGCAAGACTGAGGACAAAGGCATATTTTTCTGTGTATTTCATTTCAGTTATACGCACTAATTGATATTCACTGGATTTAAACTGTGATTTTTCCGGGGTTACTGGAATGTTCCAAGACAGCCATTCTAAGCTCCCTCTATTTCTTAGTTACATGCTGTTGATCCCGACATAAGTCGGTTACCAACATTTTAAAGATTTTAATGAAGCGATCGAGCTCAAATGTTCCAGAAAATATTGTATATTATTAAATACAATTCTGTAAAATACCAGCCAGTAATTGATGAAAAAGAATGCAGTGGAGCAAGGGAGCGCAATAAATGTGGTATGGGGCATAGTATCATAGTCATGAAAAATAATCAAACTGTTAATCAAACTCATTTTTAGAGTCAAATGGCCGAAGGCGAAAATGAGATTTTGGAACAAATGGATGAAGTAGCACAGCTGCATAAAGAAATGGATGACAAAAAGCCATTAATACAGTCTATCAAGAAAGCTGGGGAGGATATACAGTCCAAATGTCATCCATCTGCGGAACAACCAATGAAGTACTGGTTGAAAGTGTTAGAAAATCGATGGGATGAAGTAACGAATGCAATTGATAGCAAGAGGGATGATTTAGCGATGGTTAGCATTGGAAGTTATCATGTAGAACGTCTTTACCAAAGTTTGCTTAATTACTCAGATTCATCCAGAATTCCCAAATTAATTGTAACTGAAATTTGAGAGGCCTTAAAAATTCGATTCTGTTAACTCTGAATTCAGGTTGAAATAGGAAATGGCCTCCTTCAAAGGCGATCAAAAGAAAGATTTCGAAATTTCTTTCCCACGCTTTCAACTTTCAGAAATCGAATTTTCAAATGTTTCTTTTTTCTTTTCAAATTTTTTTTTTTCAAATGTTTCTTTTTTTTCAAATGTTTCTTTTTTTTTGTAGCAGCTTAGTGAACTTCGCGGTAGAGAGAAAATGATCGTTGATTTGCTGGAATATATTGAAGAAAGAAGTACCGAATTAAAGGTGTTAAATGAGACATCGTTGCCGTACGAAATAAGTGCCCTTAACAGGTCCACCTTTTAATTTTTAAGTATTCAGCTATTTATAAAATTAGGAGATGATGATCTCAATATGCAAGAAAGTGAGGCGAATCTATTTTTATGGAATTTGCCGGTTCTTTATAATTTAAGGCTTACTGAGAACCACGAACATTTCGAAAAAACTTTACGGGAAAAACAAGCACTAATTGATGAAGCAACAAGGAGTCGACGGAAAATGCTAGCTGTCGAGGAGAAAGTGAAAAAGAAGAGTGGAAAAGCACTTCAAAGGTTCGACTCAAATTTCAGTGCTTATGAATTGCTATTATTCCTACATTAATATTTTCATTTTTCAGGCATGAACACCGCATACGGCATCCTAAGTCCGATCAACTATCCAGTAGATGGAAAAAACTATGGATAGACTCAATGGATTACGGCCGCCAATTGCGCGAAATGAAAGACTATTTGGAGGAGGTCGAGTTTTTTGATTTGCAGTTCTTAGTTTTCACTTCACACTTTTTATCACAATTCTGTTCCCTTTCGAAGTTCAAATTAAAAAAAGAATTAAGAAAGAAGTAACCTAAGGATTCAGTTAAGTAGGAAGTGACGAAGCGAGTTGGATTCTCGTTTTGTCATTATCATATCGCTGTTCTTATAATCTGTCATCTTAGCCATTAGGTATGGATGTTGGTTCCTCACCTGTGGGATTTTTAATCAGAACCAAGAAAGCATTATTGATTATTCATGATGAAGAAGAGACAAATAGACTTCATGAGATTAAGTCACGATTAATGAGGTCTATTATGTAATGCGGAGTTTTGGATTTTCGTTGTTGTGCCTTAGGTCCGTAGTTGGTGTTAGAATTGACAAGATCGTTCATCCTCCTTGATTTCCTTTTGTTTCATTATTGTTGTTCATCATCTTTAGAACCCTAAATACTCGGAAGCAAGTTTTTTTCACTAATTTTGATCAAACCTAATTACTGCAAATTTATAATATTGAACAAATTTTTAAGGTGAAAAGGCTGGAGTCATTTTCTTTCGAGGAATGGCGTGAAAGATATTTGGAATGGACTGATTCTGGAAAAGCTCGAATTTCCGATTTGTTTAGAAGAATTGATAAAAGTGGAACTGGACGAGTACCACGAGCTGCTTTCATTGATGGTATCATAGCATCCAGTGAGTTTTTTTTGGATCACTTGTTTCATACTTATAACTTTTGTTGAAATTCTCGAAAGTGACCAGTAATTCAAATTTCATTTTAGAATTTCCTACTACTCGATTAGAAATGGAGAAAGTTGCGAACGAATTTGACAAAGGTGATAGAATGATTGATTCTAAAGAATTTATGGCGAAGCTCCGTTCCGATTTTTCAAAAGTAAGTTTTTGTGATACTGTAGTGAACAGAAGTTCCTTTGATACTTCTGGTAAACTGCAGTTTTGCCGATTTATCACTTACTTAATTTTTACCCAGAAATTACCGATGAAGCAAAAAACGGACAGTGAAAAAATCACAGAAGAGGTTGTAAGGCAGACGGAACGATGTAACTGCATTAATCGATATAAGATTCAAAAAGTGGGCGATGGACATTATCGCGTAAGTTCTTTGCTTAATTTTTTTTACAAATCCATTTTGCTCCTTCTGTATTTTCCAATATTTTGTTTGGTAGTATCGTAAAACACTAATTAATACGATATATTTATGCTGATGAATTTCATCGTCTGTTCGACTGTTCTAACTGGTTATACTTTTCCATGAGTTCAATTGTTAATTTCTTTCGTGATGAGTAGTCATGAACGGTAAAGGTATGTGCAAGAATAGAGGGATTAGAATTTCATCTTTATAGTTCTTCGCTAAAAAACATATGGTTTTCTGAAATTATGTTTAAAATTATTTTAAATTTGTAGGCCGGAGCTTGGTTGGAACGTTGCATTTTTTCCATAAGGCTTTTGGAATTAGGGGATGGTCTCTGTTGTTCATGCAATACATTTTTATGAAAACATTCGATTTAGTTCAGGCTGTTCATGTTAGCGCGTTACTAGTTTTCTTTGTCTCTCTATGGAAATCAATGAAATCGGTCAACATAATCATATTAATTAGGATTTTTCTACGAAATATTGTCATATAAAATATTGGAAAATACAAGAAGAGCAAAGCAGATTTTGTTGACACCTAACGATAGTCGCCAAATGTTTTAAACTACGCCGAACTACACTTACACTTAACTAGGTATATGGAATAGTTGTAATTAGTTGAACTTCTGTTACTTAGTTACACTTAATGAAATCCATATATCGCCGGATATATCGTAAAATTTTTGGGTCGTAGAACTATCTAATGTTGAAAACAGCAAATACTTGATGAAAGCTGAGAACTCTTACAAATTAATGCACATATACAGAGACTGATTCACATCTTTGCCAAAGTATTATGATATGCAGATAGCTTCGTAAGACTTTTGGTGAGAAACTTGTATATACTTCGCAATTACTTTAGCCGTTTTGATGAATTCAGTTTCATGATGAAAAAGAATTTATTTTAAGATATTTGTACTTCTGCTCTTCACTCTCTTTTCTAGATCCGACTTAGAGATACACTGTATTTTGTATCAAACTGTCAAGTTTTTTAGTTCGGTGAAACGCAGATTAAGCGTATGGTCCGTATTCTTCGATCGACAGTTATGGTCCGTGTAGGTGGCGGATGGGTCGCTTTGGAGGAATTTCTACATAAACATGATCCTTGCAGGGGTAAGTGAGGGAATTTTTTCTCATATGCATGGAATATTCTCTGTATATTGCAAACTTTCATCCTTAGAATTGTTTCGCATTATAATCTTTTAGCTAAAGGACGGACGAATCTCGACCTGCAGCGCAATTTCTATGACGATATTCGGCCGAAAGATGCTTACGATACAATGGAAACATTCACCAAATCAGCCAGGTCAACACCAAGTCGTGATTCACCAATTCGTAGTTTTCAGGAATCACTGTTGCAGTCTCGTTTCCAAGCAACTCCGGGTCCGATTACAAAAGTAATTGCTGATATCTGTTTCTATTTGTTTAATGTCTTTTTTTAAAAGAAAAAATCCACTTCGTACATAAAAGTTGTGAAAAATTAGCTCTACACAACTTACGCATGCTAAGATTTTATACAATACACATCAAGATTGTGTTTGAGGTCCCCCTTTATTTGTTAATTCTGAAAGTGTTGCGTTCTTTTTGAGTCTAATTAGAATATCAGTAAGTGAAAAGCATATAGTAAATTTCAAAAACAGGAGGAGTTCCGTTCATAACTTCCATAAATTTCATTTACAAGAAGGTATATTGCCATCATGTGGAATTAGTTTTAGATCAGGGAAAAGACAGAGCGCAGTATGCCGATGTACGTCACTGGACGTTCGTCAACCATCTATCGTAATCCACTCCTTGATACATCGAAATCAAATAGAAAATCAAGTGACATGAATGGACAAGGTTATTCCATAAATCACTTTTTCTCAAATAAAACATTAGTTTGCACCTGCCTTGAGATATTACCACAGTTGATTCAAATTTCGATTGTTATTACTTTTCAATCCGCTATTGGTTGGCGTTTTTCCATCTTCTGTTTATTAAAATAAATTGTCAAAATCGACACCACTTGATGTTATCACAAATTCTAGATCCAAAAATATGGCGGCCAAATGCATCAGGCACTCTTTCACTCTTAGGATCTCATGGCGATATGTTGGATTTGTCACGACCGGTAAGTCAAAGCTCAGATGTTTCAGTAGAGGGTGATCGACCGACACGAATACCTTCATTGCGTAGTCGGAAGGGCGTCAATTGTCGAGCATCACCTGCACAAACCAGTCCTCAGCCACGCACATGAAATGAACTTTTTTTCGTATTTATACAAAAAAAAAGCCTTGGGAAATGAGACAAATCCCATTTCCTTACAGTTTCGTTGTAATTTTATTTTTCTTGTAATTTAAACAGTATGAACGCGTCTGTCTTACTTTTTATTTTTCGTACATAATTAGCGAGTCACTTATTTGTGTTATCATTTCCAGAGGATCTTCTTTATCATCGTTGCAGTTCTTTTCTCTTTCGCATATCTAGGTGATTGTCCCGGTATCTCTGCCTATGCCTATCACACAGACTAACATATTTCATTACGGTCTTGTAACTAAATAACCCCCTTCCTTTTCTGCATATTAATCGAAATTTGAAGATATTTATAAATCATTATCTGTACAATGCTATTGATAGACTTAGTCAACGTTCGAAGCTGTTTCACGAAGCGCTGGCAACATAGAGCAGACACAGGATAGCCTTCGAGCATCCCTTCCAATAAGTACTGTAAGATGAAGAGGTTTACTGCTACTTTGTTATTTGAAAAGTGTTTATGAACCGGAAGTGACAGTTCGCCTTTTGGCGAGAATATGTCATGATCCTGTCAACTTTTCCGCATGTAAGGATTGTTTTGTATCTTTTGTTTCTAAATGCTAATTGGTTACTGTACTTGCTGTTCACTACTCATTAAAATCATTTCAACTTATTACACATTTTTTTCATTATTATGGAGTTAGCGATACCTCAACCAAAATTGGATCTTTCATTCAGCTACAGGATATAGATCTATCTGACTTTAACGATCAACAAATGAGCTTATTGCAAACGAATTTTGCGCGAGAATACTGGAAAAGGACCATCTCTCTTCTACAGTAATCATTCGGAAACACCAAGCCAAAAATAATTGATTAATGTGCTAATCACAGAAAGATGTTTTTAAATATATAAATACAACAGCATTTTTCAAATAAGTTTACACCAGCTGATATTCATCATTGGTGACATTCTCCGCATGGACCCATCTCGTCTGGCGAACTATCTCCGTCTTGCACATTTCAACCGATTTACATTTGTTTATATGCCATCTGGGAAGTGGTGTTTGTTAGTCATTACAAACTGTAAAGTAATATCAAGACAGTGATTAATGATTTCGAAGAATGGACAAAGTTGCTTAGTTAGTCAAAGTAGAGCTTTTTTAGAATACCAGTCATGAGATTTCTGAAATGGATCTGCAATCTTTCGGATCATTTCTTTAAAGTCCTCCATCATTCTACTCATTGGACTATCAATCACTACTCAAATCATTCAGCCATTTCTTCCAACATGGATTTCATTCATTACAAAAAAAAAACAAATTAACATCGAGAAACGGAACTTACCGATTGATGCATTTGGCAATTTCCATCTGCAACATCCTGTCAATTCTCATTGTTTCGTTTTTAAATAGTAGTTGGCCTATTTCACGATAGGCTGAATTTAGGGATGGCAGAATGCCAGCAAGAAGTTGTGGCACAGTGACAAGGTTGTTCATTGAATGATTCGTTTCGGACCATTTATAGGATGCATGTAATAGGATAACCTCAGATGAATTAAGCTAAAAATGGATGGGATTTAGAAATTAATAAAGGTATGGAAGTCATATCTAACATGAAACATATTTCTTTTCCAGTTAGATGACAGTAAAATGTGTTCGGAGAATTTCGAAATGTTATAGAATCGTTCGAAGAAGTAAGTTAATTAAACAGAAGTTGATGGTATCGTTCACATCGTGAACAGATAACAACTCTAGAATCTAACAGACTCATTTTCCTGGCAATAAACATTGATCGTTCATGCTGCATATATGAAGTTGCTCAACAGCTTCCTGCTGTTTCTATCTCACTACTATGTTATAGAAAATCCTCGATCTCCTGTTTTTTGTGCATCACCTTCATAATTCTCGAGTTAATTCATTAGCATTCAATTCCTCCGTCTTACCGAACTATTACTAAGCTACTAATTTTTACGCGAAATAAACTTACATTAACATCGATATAACCAGGATAGCTCTTTCTCGTTGAATGTGTGGAGATAATTGAAACTGTTTCTGGTCGTACTATTTGTTTATGTGGTCCGTCTACCTCAGCCAATCCATAACTTACATTAGTTAACCATTCAAAACTTATATCATGCCAGTGGAAGTCATCTGAAATATTTCCACTTCCATCTAAATCTCTAAATCATCTGAAATCGATAAAAATCAAAGAACTAGTATGGAGACTTCATAACAGCCCACTTCTGTCCCGAATCCAAATGATAGAGCATTTCTATCCCCAAATCCCAAACGACAGGGCTTTTCTAGCCTAAATCCAAAACGGCAAGGCACTTCTGTCGAAATCCCAAACGACAGGGCATTTTCACCCCGAATTCTAAACGAATTCTAAATAGAGATTTTAACTGCGTTGAAGTTGAAAGTGATAGCTTTTAAAGGAAAGATGGAGGATAAACAAACTCCGAGGTCGAAGCGAGGAATAATACATTTTCCTATGTAGGGCGGTAAAACTCCCACATCGTGGGCATAACTCCGCTTTTTTTCTCAATAATTGCAGCAAGAGGCATACTGAAATTCACTTCAATTCTCTTAGACGCTTAACCTGTTTGTTTCTTGCAATCTTCCTATCTTTTATCTTTTACTGTTTCGAAGTAAAACCTACTGCTGATCATCCTATTGAGTTGTTTTATTTAAGGTAACTAAAAAGTATGATAGTTGTCGTCTGAAACTTCTCCTCTTCTACTTTACAAATTAGTGCCGATTTATGAACAGAACTTTAGCCTTCAACTTTGGAATGGAACTGACCCACTAGTAGTAAGAATATATTCGTCTAAATCGACGAATGCAACAAAATGAGCACCTTGTGAACGCCACAAACAATCATTGTTTGCGAGACTGTGTGCCAACCTAAACATTTTAGCAGAATTTATATTGACCATTTAAAAGAGAGGAAACTTTAAAACGATTTTATCACTTCATCAGATTCATCTTCGAAGCATCGAAACTTATAATATGATAACTCTGTTTTAGTTTCTGATTCCATTACATTTGAGACAAAACTAAAACGAAGGGTAGAAATATTGCGAAGTCTAACAAATAAATGAAACATTTTTATGGGAAAATTCCCTTTATCAACTGGAAAGCAATCCGTAGAAAATAGATAATCAAACATGACATTTTATTTCTTAGTCATTGTGCAAGAGTTTGAAAAGATGACTGCTTGTAGTAAGAAACTACCTGTATACGTCTTTGTTCGGATTTTCATTCTCCCCAACAGGAAATGATCTCCATGGTAGTAATGTTACAGTTCCCTGAAAAAAGAAAAATTTCGACAAAAAGACTGATTTCATTTGATTTGATTTGATCAACTGCACACTGAGAAATGTTACAACATGTAAAAGGATTGAAATAGATGATAGTTATTTAATTTCAGGAATGGATTAAGGTATTATCTTATATCCAAGACTATGTAGTCTGATAAGCTAATGCATATCAGTCTATCTTATACTCCAAGGAATTCGGGTCATTTAATCATGAGCAAATACATGATATTGTTAAGAAACGAGTGCTGTGACAAACTTTCGCCTCATAATACTGTAGGATATTCATGACAAGTGGTGAAACGGTATAAAAATAGAAGAAGAAATGGCTAATGCCTTGAGATGACCATATTTCAATGAATTCAATTAATTGAAGCCAATCGATATACCTGAAGTGAAATAAAAAATAAACAACATAGTCCTTTTTCAACCAAGAAAATGACTTACACTCTTTCCCCAATCATTACTTTTTCTCACAATCTCCTCTGCAAGATCAGATTATTCCAGCAGAGAGACAAATGAACGGGTCGCATCCCATGACGGATTGTCCTTATTTGACTGCTTTTCAGGATTTATTCGATTATAGTACAGATAAAATCGGTTCATCGTACTTCTTTACTTTCAGGACCACTGCTCCCCATTATTGTTATTCACCATCTGTTAAGATCTTAAGAAGATACGTACACTAGATAGTCTCTTTCTGAATCACAGCACCAGCTATTCAAAATTCACCGCATTTCTTGCTGCTAGGTAAAATCTGCATCTCCCAGAATGTATCATCGAATAAAATATTTGAAATCGTTGGCCACTTAATTGTCCACTCTGCTAGCATTTCATTTTTACATGAAAAGACTTACGGAGGGGCAAATGTCACTTATGGAGAGGGCAAATGGTATTCCATTCTCCAAAAAAAAAAAAAGAAAAAAAATTGAAACTTCCTAGAAGGAAAAACAAAACTATCTACGCAATTTCCTGGCTGGATTGTATGTAATAATTAATGCAAATTTTTTGTTCTTGAAAGAATTTTGCATCTTCACCGCACAGTACCACAGTGTATCTGATGCTTTACTTCTTTATCATCCGGATTGCTTCCACGTATAAATGATTTTGCTGTCATCTCGATCTGACCTGCTTATTTTTCCAGAATTTCTGTGAACTAACCAGTAAAGAGGCTGAGTACACAGAACAAAGAGTAAATTCTCGATATTGCGTGATGATTCCAAACGTAGTCCAATAGCATGGCTATTGAAATTAAGCTAAAATAAGATGTGTCATATGTCACAAAGCAACGGAACAACCACTGGCATCAAATATTATCAGTCTTAAAACTATTTTTGAAAAATGATTTCATGCCCAAACTTATTCTTACTCCGGTTAGCCTATGATCCCCGTCCTTAAACTTCTGTATACATACCTCACTCAATATCCTTTTTCAATAAATTGGGAATACTGAGAACTCTTCACTTCGATTATCGGTTAAAATATTTTCTACTTTGTTCTCGACACTTAGCAAAAGTTAGGAATTTATATTAGCTTTTATTAAAAAAATTCGTCTGATGAGGACTTTGAAAACTTGCAAGAATATGACTGGGGACGAAATCCAATCTTGCACTTGCAATAAAGGACGACCATGCACATCCTGGAGCCCAATCCCATGGACATTCATCACTTTCAATATGTTTTACCGCAGGACATAAAATTCGTTTGAAGTCAATCTGACGTAAAGTAGCAATTGATTCGGAGAAATCTGATTGAAAACAAATTAAAAACAAAAAATTCAAACGAATAAAAGCAAGAATGATTTGCGAGTAGACTCTCTATTGGCACCATTGATAAGTTTTTCGTTTTTCCATTTTATTTGCCGTTATCCAACTTCCCAAGGATATACCGATTCCAGTAGTTCCCCTCCCCAAATTTTAAAGTCCTTTTGACAGTTTCCATCATGTCATACGTGAACTGTTAATGAAAGTGTGACAATACTAACTTGTAGACGTACATCACTCACGTTCGTTTCACACTTTTTCAGAAACAAAATCTTTAGATACAATCCATCATGTTGAAGAAGAAGTACAGATCGTACTATTATCAGTGATTTGTTGGTAAGATTCAGCGCGGCAGACTCGTCAGACTGTAGCAATTTGGATACTGTAAAAAAACATATCGAATGATTTTGCCGGATTTTGTTATTGTTCCAGTGATTACAGTAAAATCTGAAAAGTAAGAATAATAAAAGAAAAAAAAACTAATTGCTCTCATGATGTCCGAGAAATCTAGCAACTTGGAATTCCCACTTCGAGTTTTTTTTCCTAAATTACTTTGAAAGCAACAGTTCAGCTCTAATTATCGGTGGTTGGCAAGCTATTAAGGTTTCCAAGCGTATAAAAATCTAAGATAGCTGAGAGAGACTTATACCGGACTCGTGAGTGTACCGGACATAGCAAGATTTATATCAGCAATTCCAAAGTATAACAAGTGGATATTAGCCCAATAAATGTACACATTAATAATCTAAATAAAGCGAACAAAAGACACAGCGAACCAGTCACTGCCTAGTGAGGATTAAGTTCAAAGGCGATTAACTAATTCATTTAATGTATCCGGGAAATGTTTAGGAAAGGAAGATCGAGATCGATAATTCGAATTGCGTTGAAATTCTAAATCAGTCACTTACCGTGCAGTTTACATGAGAAGCCATCTTCTCCATTTTTCGTGCTCTCACTTAAATTACGCCAAGGTTGTGAGAAATCTTCACGTAGCAGAAAGAGTGTAATGGAAAGGAGTGACGTAGTAACAGACAACGAAATAATGAGCACCCCAAGGATAAACTGCAAGAATAGGCGAATCCGTAGAACAGGAAGTCTAATTGCAAAACGACCACGCATACTTCTGAAATTGCAGTGAAGTGAAAGAACGAGCAAGATACAAACCATTTGGCAATAGCATAATAAAACATTCAATATGCAAATTCTGGATTTGATTCTGGCCTCCTACACAGTTGTAGTCTTTTGACAGTTTTACGACTGAACTGAATAAAAGTGATGCAAAGGAATGGATATTAGGTTGGATGTCAACTTCACAACTGCAGTACTGATCCTCCAATTCAATAATTTTTCGACAATTCCTAGAAAATTCGAGTCAAATCTCAAATCTTAGTTAAATAGGGCCTTTAATAAAGTAGAAATAGATGCCATCAGCATCATCGCAAAATCTACACCTTACAGAATGGAATCCGAAAAACAAATACCCTTAAAGGCTAAAAGTACCCCGTTAAAGCCTGAAAACTTATTTATTTTAAGCCATCAGTTCATGAGAATTAAAACTCATCCATCGCACAATTAAATGGGTTCCCGAAATTCTGGGTAACTTTACTGATGGAAATGCTTCTCTAAAAATTCTCATTGGATCGAAGTTTAAAAGATTCGCATACGAAATGAATTAATACGTGCACTGTTAATGCAACCGATGTTTCGAAATCAAAGAGGAAAAAATGGTCAGTAATATTTTGTCACTTAAATTTTAATTATCCTTTCCATTTCTGACTGGTCAGTGATAAGGAATATAAGCAAGGAATTTGCATGTAAAGTGATACAAATCATGACATGGTAGGTCATACCTGACTTATTTCAGGAAGAAGCGTAGAGTAGCGCAGAAATGGAAAAAGCATTTGAATAAGTGAATCAGTTATCAGGAATGAATGGTGAGAGTATACCAGGTGCAAAAAATATGAGCAGCGGCTACCTATTATCATTACCACATTTGACTGCCCGATTACTTTGAGGTATAGCAAAGGGAAGAAGTATCTTCAGCTTTCTATGATATTATGATATTAAATCGTTACATTCATATCAAAGAAAGCCAAAAACACTCATTTCACCTCCTGCTATTATTAAGATATGAAATTTCTGAGAATTTCAACCTCTCAACAAAATGCCTAATTCTGTTCAATGGTTATTTCACATATTTCTTCAGGATTTGGGATAGGAAGAATGAAGACTGCATAATATGATAAGTTGGTATAATGAGATATGAAATATTAAATACCATGCGAAAAAGTCCCTCGGATCATGGCTAAAGGAAGAATAAAAGAAATATCGTGGTAACTTTCACCGATAAACGTACAAATAAAGCGAAACGTATTGCCATATCAGTAAATAGATGACATGGAACAGGGATATGATAAGCAGATGAAGAGCAGTCGATTACAGAGAGATGACCATGAAGCATCTTCCGTGCCTAATTCCCGGAGAAGAATGATCTCATTGCTACCTCAGATGCACAGCGCCACTCATCCACAACGGTAACATCAATGACACCGAACACCAAGAACACCAAGGAAATAACATATGCTGGTGGGAAATGCTGCTCGGCGCATTTTAACAAAGCATTGGTTGGCAGCAGGGAATAGAATGAATGTACGGTGAAACATATCAAATCGAAGAAATTGCTCTTTCATCGAGATGGGTGTGTGTGTATGTGTGTGTGTGTGTGTGTGTGTGTACTAGTGTGTGTATGTGTGTGT